CTGTAGAAGCTCTGTCATGAAAACAAACTCGTACGTGCAAACATACCTGTCAATGAAGCTTTTTCTGATTTCTGAAAAAGAACAAACCATCGTTATACAATAACTTGCCTAATTACCCTAACCTGCCTAGTTAACCTAATTAACCTAGTTAAGCCTTTAAATGTCACTTCAAGCTGTATAGAAGTGTCTTGAAAAATATCTAGTAAAATATTATTAACTGTCATCATGGCAAAGATAAAAAAAAATCAGTTATTAGAGATGAGTTATTAAAACTATTATGTTTAGAAATGTGTTAAAAAAAATCTGCTCTGCGTTAAACAGAAATTGGGGGAAAATAATAATTCAGGGGGGGTAATAATTCTGACTTCAACTGTATATAGTAATGCCTTTTGTTCAGTTTGTTCATTTGTCTGTGTTTTTAAACTAAATATTGATTTTTATTCATATTTATTTGTACTTGCTAAATAACTTTGATGATTAAATTGCATTATTTTAAAAGCAATTAATCGAATACATAAAACCACATAACATTTCACATTTACCAAAAACAAAAATATAACATTACACTGAATTCCACCACAAGTGGAACCACACTTTGCCACCTGTGCCACCACAAGATTTATTTTGGCTGTGGTCTATTCCAGACTAATCCCAGAACATATGTATATAAGTACCTTTTGTAGAGTTAGTGTACACACAGTTGAAGTCAGAATTATTAGCCCCCTTTGATTTTTTTTCTTTTTTAAAATATTTCCCAAATGATGATTAACAGAGCAAGGAAATTTTCACAGTATGTCTGATAATATTTTTTCTAATGGAGAAAGTCTTATTCGTTTTATTTCCGCTAGAGTAAAAGCAGTTTTTAATTTTCATCCATTTTATCCCTTTTAAGGTCAATATTATTAGGCCCTTTAAGCTACATATTTTTTAGATAGTCTACAGATCAACTATCGTATTACAATAACTTGTCTAATTTCTCTAACCTGCCTAGTTAACCTAATTAACCTAGTTAAGCCTTTAAGTGTCACTTTAAGCTGTATAGTAGTGTCTTAAAAATATCTAGTCTAATATTATTTACTGTCATCATGGCAATGATAAAATTAATCAGTTATTAAAAATAAGTTATAAAAACTATTATGTTTGGAAATGAGTTGGGGGAAAAAAAATCTCTCCGTTAAACAGAAATTGGGTAATAAAATAAAATAAACGGGGGTAAATAATTTTGACCAACTGTAAGTGACAAAAAGGTTCTGATTTTCATTTCAATTTAAATAACAGGAAGGAGGAACAAAGGCATGTTTTGATGATGGCATGACTGCGTGTTGAATCATGGGAGTTGTGGTCTTCATTACAACTTTTGGGACTGCAGCAGAAATTATGCTCATGGGTGAGCTGGAGTATTAAATACATAGGGCCCTATCACACCCGTTGCAAAACAATGGCAGTTGCATCGGATGTGATTTGTTGCTATTTTAGGTTTAGGTTTATAGCGTAGGTTTAATTTTTTACATTTTGCACCATGTTGTTTAAATAGCAAATCCTTTTGCCCCACTTTGTGGACTCATGGGTGTGCCAACTAAACGCTGGTCCAAAGTCAATGGTGCAGAGATTTGTAATTTAACAAGAGCATTAAGTATTCAAAACATGCGTACGCATTGCTTAATAGACACAGAAAGTACAGTAAAACACAAATATCTTTGTATAGGTAAAAAATTAAAGGATCCATTCTGGTCATGCCATAAAATCAGTTCATTTTGGCAGGTATACAGGATCGATCTGTCACCGGAGCCAAAATTGGCCATTTTCGGAGACACCTCAGAAATAGGAGATAAATATATAACACATGCAGTATCTTTGTGTATGATATTAGCAAAGAAAATAAGCTTACAAAATTGGCAGTCAGATTATCTGTCTGTCTTTGAAATTTGGATTAGGAGCTTAAGTTACGTGTTGCCCATGGAAGAAATGCGAATATGGGATGACAAACAAACTAAACACATTTTTTAAAATCTGGAATCCAATTATGTTTTATATCAGTAATGCTGACTTGTAACTCTTATAGGTGGGAATGGTTTGGCATAAGTCAAGTGGCGGAGCCAAACACATTTCTCTGTAAATTATTGTTTCATATGTAATTCTTTTTATTTCCTCAAGCTTTCTGGATGATATTGTATTATGTTGTGTTTGACTATTTGTGTATTTTAAAACAACCTTTGTACCCTTTTTTTGTTGTTCTGTTTATGCTATTGTTTATTTTCTTATGCTAAAAACAATAAAAAGATTAATAAAAAAAATAAAAAGATTAAAATTTTAAAATGATTATTTTCTACATAAGTATAAAAACCACTGCCTCCTTCCATTCCTTTTTTACCTTGGAGAGCTACCTTTTAGAACCCAGCTCGGTAGTCTGTTTATTCATGACAATTTGCATTTGTATAATGCTATTATTAGTAGAAGTTTTCATTATGTGCATATTTATATTTGTTTTAATAAAAACATGTTTTAATAAAAAAAAGCTTAAATTTGTCTACATAACGCAACGCAACTGGGGAATGAGAGATGACACTCAGATTGGTTTAATGCACGCAATTCTCAAAACACACTCATAACTTATTAAAAGAATAAACACAACCCCGTTAGACCATGTTCTGCCACACAGACCATATGTTTCCTATCTTAAAACAGCAAAAATTGATTTGGACATGTCCTTAATGCTTTTGCACCATGCCCTTTAGACTTCGCACTTAGATCGTTAAAACAAAGCTCTTTGACTTTGTTTCAAACATCTGAAAAAAATTAATTTTAACAGAATAACTACAATTATATTCACAAACAAATATTCAACATATATTTAAAATATATTCATAAAACATTACTTTACAATACAAAGTAATACAAGTCGATTTAATCTTGAAAGAAATAGAAAGGTGTGCTTAATTAATCCTACTATTTCACTCGACTTTAATAATAAAAAAAAAACTGTCATGCATTTTTAACAGCATGATAGTGTTACGTGACGCGTTTCAAAGTGTCCTGCTTCAAAGTAAATTATCTAAATTATTGGCTTATTAATTACTGGATACAGGAAATAAAACAACTTGACAGTCATAATACTATACTAGCTAGTCTACCACATTCAGGGCAAAAAGATGGATAACATTTCAGCAATTCAATTTCTTAATGAGTAAATTGGTAATTAACGATATTAATATATGAGCAAGAAATCATTACACAATTATTACAGTATGATTCTTAAGACTAAAAGAAGTGAAGGCCTGCAGTTCAGTAAATTCTTGTTTCAGAAATTGAAATCTGTGTTATTACCTTGAATTTGGTTAAAATATATATTGAAATTAATATTTAAAAAAGTATAGCCAACGATACTTTAAAGAAGTAGTACATCTAAAATGCAAAATATACTCTCCATTTACTCACCCTCAAATAGTTCCAGACCTGTTTCTGTAAAACAAATGTTAAAAACCTGTAGGTAGTAGGTAAAACGAATACTATAGAAGTCAAGCAATGTTTACATCCCCAAAGATGGAAATAGCTAACGGTTTTGGGTTTCCAACATATATATTTTAAATATTGTGTGTTCAACAGAAAGAAACTCAAACAGGATTGTGAAGTTGAATAAATGATGACAGAATTTCCAGTTTTGGGTGAACCATCCTTTAAAATAAAAACTGTTTTTACACAGTATGCTATTGCTTACAGTAGAAAACAATAGCATAATAACACATTAGAAACCATTTCACTTTAACTGTACATTGTGCAGCTACAATTTTGTGTGTGGTTTTGAGCAACACATAGGCTGTTACCTGAGGTAAAGTGTACAGTATTTCAAAACCATGCGAGGCAACCTTATTGACCCGAAAAAATGAAGCTTTTTTTCATCGTCTAGACGACTGGATGAACATTTTATTTACAGACCGGTGGTTAATATTAACTTAATCCAGCCCTATTTGTCGTTTGTTTAAAAGCTTCTTGTTAATGTTTTACGGAGCAGTTCTGGATTGAATATAACTGAGAGGAAGAAGGAAAAGCAGCCAACGCACGCCAGACACTGTAGGCTACACATGTTCAGTAGTGTCTACAGTATGTCCGTGGTTGCCAGGTTCAAGTAATTTTCCAGCTCAATGCCGGTTGCTACTGGTGGATCAATGGTAGGTTATCGCCGCCCAGAGGACAAATAAAGCTTTGGTACATCGTTAATTTTGAGCTCTAAAAAAAGTCATGTGAAATAAAAACTAATTGCAATATAACACTGTGAAACCATGACCCATTTGCTCATGCTCATTGAGCAAACTCATACACTGAAATCATTTTTTTATAAATTGTTAAAATTTTGGTGTTTGTGATGCAGCAAGCCTAGACATTGTTTGCAGCAAGCCCAGAGATTACACTATGACTTTATTTATTCATTCATTCATTCATTCATTTTCTTGTCGGCTTAGTCCCTTTTTTAATCCGGGGTCGCCACAGCGAAATGAACCGCCAACTTATCCAGCAAGTTTTTACACCGCGGATGCCCTTCCAGCCGCAACCCATCTCTGGGAAACATCCACACACACTCTACGGTCAATTTAGCCTACCCAATTCACCTGTACCACATGTCTTTGGACTGTGGGGGAAACCGGAGCACCCGGAGGAAACCCACGCGAAGGCAGGGAGAACATGCAAACTCCACACAGAAACGCCAACTGAGCCGAGGTTCGAACCAGCGACCTTCTTGCTGTGAGGTGACAGCACTACCTACTGTACCACTGCCTCACCATGACTTTATAAAAATTAACTTTAATGTGTGATATGAATAAAAAGTGATCATAAATAAATGATTTCTCAACTCAAATGAGTGGCGGCTTGGACCCGGAAACAGTATTACATACGTCACCAATACGTCATCACTTAACAAGCGGATATTCTACTGTAACATGTCAGTTAGCATCAGATTTTTAAAGCAGTTTATTCTTATAAAAATACCTAAGATGGCTGGAGGAAGACATATAAACCATTTATTGTCACAGTTAAAGCCTTTTTATCTTTATTTAAATCTTATTTTCTTCTTTGCAGCTAAGCCCCTCATCCCTTTCAACCCTAGCAACGCCCATGGTATATCTATTTGATCACTGATTTATTTATTCATTTTATGATGGAAAGAGTTTACCGTTAGCGAGGTTGGCAGGCTGAAATAAAATCTGTGGGTATATGCACCATTTACCGCTTTATGCTATGCACAGAAAAGCACATTAAATATAATTCTCTATCAGATAATACATATGTGTAATATACTGTATAAAGAACTGAACTTTTCACAAGGGATCAGTTTAGTTGTCTTTCCGCTCTGATGACTGCACACAGTTTGTGGGGTGAAGGGTTCAAAGTCAGGCCCACCACCGGTGTGAGATCCAGCTCATCTTCAGACGCTCCAGGAGGAGGACTGAAGCGGAAATACTGAAGGAGAGACGTGAAGAAGAGGAAGAGCTCCATTCTGGCCAAACTCTCTCCAAGACAAGCCCTGCGCCCTGAGAGAAAAACAAATCATGTAAGGAATGGCTATTTTAAGACACCCCAGTTTTCAACTCCTCTTTATTTCTATATACATCTTTTACAATGTAGACTGTGTCAAAGTTTAACATAGATGGGGTTAGTAAAAGCCATAATATTTTAAATTAATGCAGTAGTGTGGAATCTTGGTGTAGTTCTAGATAAGCTGCAACTGTTTTAGTTTAGTTTGGTAGAAATATCACTGTTAAAGTTCAGATCAGTGTAATACACATGTCTCGTGTATTAAATCTTTAACACCCATTTTTAAAGATCCAAGTTAAGGAAAATTGCGCATAATAATAAAGATCGGCGACAGTGGCGCAGTGGGTAGTGCTATCAACTTACAGCAAGAAGGTTACTGGTTCGAGTCTCGGCTGGGTCAGGTGGCATTTCCATGTGGAGTTTGCATGTTCTCCCCGTGTTGGTGTGGGTTTCCTCCGGGTGCTCCGGTTTCCCCCACAGTCCAAAGACATGTAGGTGAATCGGGTAAGCTAAATGGTCCATAGTGCCAACAAAGCAAACAGACTTGGCCCAAATGTGGCCTCATTAAGGCACTGCTGGCGTGTTGCTGGCATGCATAATGTTAGCCAATTATGGGCCATGCCTGGCATTGATGACACTGCATGCATGACGGCAAACTACATTTGGGCTAGTTGTGGATGAAAGGTGTGTGGCCCAGATCAGTGTAGCGAATGTTCACATTGTTTAGGTAACATTAGGCTGGGTTATGGCTGTTTTGGGGGTTTCTGGTTAAATGGTGGTGTTGATATGGTTAATTTATAGCTGAGAATCGGTACCAATAATAAACCTGTTTTGGCCCAGTTCAGGGGCAGTTAAGGGTAATAAATTGGCTGAGATTCGGGCCGGTTATGGCCCATGTGTGGCCCTTATCTTTAATGCTCTCAAGCATTAATCATCTTGTTTAATCCTGCCCCTTTTCGCAGCTCCGCATGCGAGAATTTCACTCACAAACTCTAGTGTGACCTCAGCTTTAAGCTCAAGTCAAGTCAGGTCAAGAGTCTTATTTGTCACATACATAATAATACAAAGTATGACCAGCAGTGAAATGAAGGTCAGGTCCGCTCGAGAGACAGTGCAAATATAGATATACAAAAATTAAATAATAATGAGAAAAATATGTGCAAAGAAAAATGTGCAAAAAATTATACAAAGTAATAAGAACAGCAGCAATATCTAAAGGTAGCTTATAGATATGACTAAAACAGTGATATATACGTAAAATCAAGTGATGTATAACACCGGGTTAGAATTTAGAAGCCTGATGGCATGGGGAAAGAAGCTCCTCCTAAAAAATCTGCGGTCACACTAGAGTTTGTGTGTGCGAAATTCTGTCCTACGGTGCTGCGAAAAGGGGCGGGATTAAACGAGATGATTAGACATTTAAAAAAGCGAGCAATTGGTCTGTTTCAAATTTCTGTCCAGAAAGGTCATGTTTTGATCCTCGATTGGACTCACGCAGTCAAGTGACGCGTTTTCGCAGGTCAGAGTTCACCAAGCTTGAACTTTCGAACGCATCGATCTGCGAAACTTGACGCACAAGCTTGCGTTTCCAGTCTGACGCATTCGCTTGCTTATGAATGGAAGTCTATAGGGAGAAAAGTCCAGTGTGACCGCAGCTTGAGAGGAATGATTGGGACTGCAGGATTGAGCAGAGGGTGTGACACCTACTACCTAAGTCAATGGTTACAGGGTTTTAACATTTTTCAAAACATCCTACTTTGTGTTTGACAAAACAGTTCTAGAACTATTTAAGGGTGAGTAAATAGGAAGGAAATTTAAAAAATGTGGATGTACAATCCCTTTAAAGTATCTTTGGCTATACTTAAAATGTTTAAAATATATATTTAATTTCAATATATTCAAACTAAATTTAAAATAAAAAAAAAATCTAATTATTAAAAAATTTTATGGAAGTTGATTTCCAAAGCACTTTAGACTTAATTATTATTAGTTAATTATTAACTATTAATATTATTAATTATTATTAAATATTATTAGTTAATGCATTTACTAACACGAACTAATTATGAACAACATATGTACAGCATTTTTTAATCATAATTGAACATTTACTAATGCATTATTAACATCCAAGTCCATGCTTGTTAACATTAGTTAATGCACCATGAGTTAACATGAACTAACAATAAACAACTGTATTTTTATTAACGAATGTTAACTAATGTGAACAAATAAAGTAGTAGATGTATTGTTTATTGTTTGTTCATGTTAGTAAATGCATTAATTAACATTAACTAATGAACCTTATTGTAAAGTGTGACCAAGATATTTATTGTCCAGTGTTTATCCCTTTTGAGTAATTTTATTTTAAGTCATTTTAAAAGAAAACCTGCTTAATAATCATGCACATCTGAATATATAGCAATTTACAATTAAGCATAACTTTTAAAGGGATAGTTCATCCAAAATTGAAAGTTTACAGTACACACCCTTAAGTGGTGTGAGTTTTCTTCTTTTAAGCACACAAAATATATTTTGAAAAAACGTGTCAAATCTGTAACCACTGACTTCCAAAGTAGGAAAAACAAATACTGTGAAAGTCAATGGTTACAGGTTTTCTGCATTCTTAAAAATATCTTCTTTTGCATTTAACAGAAGAAACTCATAGAGGTTTGAAACAAGAGAGAGTAAATGATGACAGAATTTACCTTTTTGAGAGAAGTATCAAGTTAAGTACACATTTAATAGTAGCTAATAAGATTGATGTGCTGTACAATGGGTAAAATGTGAATATTGACTTAATAAATATACACACACTGAGATGTCAGAGTCAAAATATGAGAGAGGGGTCTGGATGCAGACCAAGTGCAGTGCAATCTAAGCTGCATGCAATGCTTGTTAATGCCCAAAACCTAACCTCACCCCTAACCCTACCTCTCACAGTGACGTCACTAGCCCCATTGAGTGCATTGTGTCTGGCATTGCATCTATGAGATATGCAATCTCAGCTTGCATCATCAAGACTGCATCCTGATACTATTGAAACATGATACCTGCAGAAAAAGGCATGAAGGCGTCTCGTTTGATCAGCTGACCCTTCTCATCTAGAAAGTGCTGAGGGTTGAAAGTGTCAGGCGTCTCCCACTCGGTCTCATCCCTCAACACAGAGGTCAGCAGCGGCAGAACACACGTCCCCTATAATTCAGAAGAGAAACAAAACAAGGTTAAGTTTTCTTATGGAGTCTTTCTTCTTTAGATCAATGGCTCAGGTTAAAGATGGTGTTACAGTGTGAAAGAGATTTTCTTGGCATGCTTTGGAAGCCGTTATACAAAAAAAAAAAAGCCTGAAAAAGTCTCATGTAGATGTTGGGCAGTGTTTGGTTTTGTCCACAAGATGTCACTGACACTGTTGTATTAAGGCAGGGGTGTCCAAACTCGGTCCTGGAGGGCTGACATCCTGCAGATTTTAGCTCCAACTAGCTTTAACAAACCTGCAAGGATGTTTCCAGAATGCCTAGTGAGAGCTTGATTAGCCAGCCCATGTCTGAGTGAGATCGGAACTAAACTTGGCAGTACACCAGCCCTCCAGGACTAAGCCTGAACATCCCTGTAATAAGGCATTTTGAAGTTTCTAGTGATGTTTGAGTCTGTACTGCTGACAAATGCGTAGTGTGCTATATTTTCCTCAGTTTGTGTTGTCACTCATAGATATATACACTAGATATCGCATATGGACCCTTAGTATGCGTCAATTGCTCCGCCACATTTGTACGGTGCTCCCAGGACAAATGTCATTCAACCGCACTAGTCAAGCCAATCTGAAGATGCTGGACTTTAGCGCTGTGTACGGGTGTAGTAACGAGCAAACAAAGAAAACAAAGCACAAAGGCAGAACATTTCATAGGTAAGATATTTTGTTTTTTAAGTTTTGTATGTTACAAACTTGGGCGAGGCAGTGGCGCAGTGGGTAGCACGTTCGCCTCACAGCAAGAAGGTCGCTGGTTTGAACCTTGGCTCAGTTGGGTTTCTGTGTGGAGTTTGCATGTTCTCCCTGCCTTTGCGTGGGTTTCCTCCGGGTGCTCCGGTTTCCCCCACAGTCCAAAGACATGTGGAACAGGTGAATTGGGGAAGTTAAATTGTCTGTAGTGTATGAGTGTGTGTGTGAATGGTTCCCAGATGGGTTGCGGCTGGAAGGGCATCCGCTGCGTTAAAAAAACTTGCTGGATAAGTTGGCGGTTCATTCCGCTGTGGATTAATGAAGGAACTAAGCCGACAAGAAAATGAATGAATGTTACAAACTTTTGCCCTAAACAAGTCACGTTATTGATGATGATACAGTTACTTACTGCACTGACCATTAGGTAAAAGAGCACCAACTCGCACTAAATTCTAGGCTTATGCTAGTTTTGTTGAACAGAATTAGCAAACAATGTAAATAAAATATGTCAACAAGACGCTGCGGTGCCAGAAACATCGGCTAAGTGAAGTGAAGGCTAGTTTTTGAAGTAACTTATAAGGGTGCCTGAGAACATAACAGTGCCTAAGCCTAAATGTGCATACAGTCGACCCTAAATTATTGAATATTACAAATGTTATATACCATTTAGATCGGAAAGATGGATATGCAGGGATATCGATGATTCACAGGAGTCATTCATAACAGAGATTCATTCACAAATGAATCGCTCCCACCGTTAGCATTAGAAGTGAACGCAGAAGAGGGGGTGTGTTTCAGGACATGGATTAGATCAAGTTTAACAGGGAGGGAGGATAATACATTTCCATGCACACTAACATACTCTTTGTCAGCACTGCCCGTGCGATAACTTATCCATCGATGTAGAAAAGTGACATAAAATGATCAATTTCACAATTAAAAAACAATATTAGCATACTGACCACCGGGAAATCTCCCAATCATAGATATATGAATATACTGTATGTGTCTATATCTAAGGCTGTGAATGGCCAGTCCTCCACTGCACCTTGTTACCACATTCATTTCAAAGGAGTGCTACCCTGTACTAACATGGTGGCTCTATTGACGCATTCCTTGCAACAGACAACAACAGCGTAGGCGACATCTAATGTAAATATCTATGATCAACACTGATAGATGCCCTGCTGTCAAATAAATGGTCGAGTCATGATCGCGGACCTCTCTCTGCCTGCATCTCCTGTTTACCACCTTAAAAACACATTCAACCAACATTGGCTCATTTTGAAAGCGTAGCCCGATATACATTTCTGTAGATCGTGAATTATGGAGCCAGAGGTATGTATGGCTGCATTTCATTTTTAAAACGACTGTTACGGGGCAATTTGACGCCAATCCTTTTCGCGCTTACCAGCTGACCAACCATTGTGTCCAGTTAGCTCGCTATGTACGTCAATGGACTTGAGAAGCAGACTGGAGGTGGCTGCGACGACGGGGTTTGAGTCTGGTAAAGAACGGTTTTAGAAAGCGGGTAAGACTAAAAGAGAATTTAAAAAATAAAATAAACAAGTAAATAACAGGGTGAGACTGTGGTAAAATCTGAAAACGTGGTAAAAATCAGACGAGGGCTTTTCTTTTTCTGGATTGCATTTGAAAATGATGGATTTAATTGAAGTAGGTGGGCGCTGGTCAATCTGTAAAATTGGTTGGGTTTAGGGAAGGAGGAGGGTGGATCAGTCGATCTGTCAGTCATTCAGTCAGTCAAACAGTCAGTCAACAGCGGCCTCCGGTGGATTTATACAAGAACAGCAGGCGCAAATGGTGCTAGCAAGAGAAACTTGAGACCTCAAAAAGCATAGACAGCGGCCACTGGTGGATTCACAGAAACAAAAACTGCATAAAAATGTACCTCCAGGGACGTATTTCGTGGTCTCCACAAATGTATATAAAGGTACATTTTTAGATTAAGTCTGGGTTGCATACAACACAACGCAGAGTAGCAGAGGTGATGCTAGAGGCCAGCAAGAAAACAGAGAGCGACTGGGTTACCTAAATAGCACCACAGCAGACTACCTGACGATTGTTGCTGACCATATTTAAATACCTGCCAACACTCCAGTTTTTCCCAGGAGTCTCCCATAATTCAGACCCATTTCCAGTATTTTTCTGTCTCCCGAAACCCCCACCCCACACCCACCGGTCTGCAGCATTTTGGTACAGTCCCCATGCGCACCGAACTCAACGTGCAACCATCTTCATTCTCGCTCCCTGCTCTTCAGTTCGTGCACACCCCCACCTCCTTCCCCCCCGCTCTTCACTTTGCGCGCACCCCCCATAGAAATTCTCCCGTATTTTATGATCCGAATTTCGGCAGGTATCTATAATTCTGAATAATTCAAAATTCACCATGGCACAAAGTTAATATCTTTACACTGCATTTACACAACCTTCTTGATGAAATATCCATTGAAGGTAACATCACAGCTCGTCTTATGAGGGAGATTCAGTGGTAGAATATTAGCCAGTCTCTGTGTTTCATGAATCACAGCATCTGTATACGGTAAGTTCTTTCTGTCTTCTGCAACTGGTTCACGGCCACCCAGAACCTGGTCAATCTCCTCCTGAACTCGATCTATGGCCAACAAGATCACAAAAAAAACACATGAAGGTGTTTAACAGCAGTGAGATCTTTCATTATGATGCTTATAAGAGACAAATGGGAAGGTACTAGGAAAACAGCATATTTTCTCCTCAGTTTGTACGTCTGACCTTGTATTTGAGGGTATTTGGCCATGAGCATCAGACCCCAGCGCAGCGTCGTGCCAGTCGTGTCAGTGCCAGCAGCAAACAAATTTGACACAGTAATGAGCAGATTCTGATCATTGAAAGATGAATCTTTTTCTCCAGTTTCCTGCATGAAATAAAAAAGATTTTTATTCTTACGATGAGACTAAAATACAGTACAATGAATCAATTATACAGTATTTATATCAATTCCAGGGTTCCCACTCTAAGCCCTCCCACTCAAAATCCTTGATTTTGCTCTGACATTCACTGACTAAAATAGCTGAATTTCCATGACCTATTGGCTTTATTCTTGATATATGAGCAGCCGCAGCCATTGGAATCTTTTTGGCTCCAGATTTGAGACCGGTCTTATTCATTTTCATTGGTTTTTTTAGTCATTAAAAACAGCTTATTATGTTATTCTACTCTTTATTGTCATGAACACACCTGCTTGTTTAGAGCAAGTAGTTTGACTATTTTCTGGCATTCATTATTCCTAGTCATCTCTGTAATAGGCAACTGAATCGAAAGTTCTAAAGCAATCGCAAAAACAAACGCTCTTCCACATTGCCAAATAAGGTCAATAATGAAGAAAAAAATAAGAAGCTGTTGTGTTTTTCAGTCCCTCTTGAATTTAGTGCTTCTGTGATCGCCGAATTTAATGAAAAATCAACCCTTTTTTTAATTGCCACAGATCTGGAGATTTTCGCAAGTCAGTAAAGTGTTCTGCACCATCTGTGTTGTTTTATATTAAATAACAGTGCGTATTATATTTTCACAGCAAATCAAGACAAGAAACACCACAAATAATGCTTTCAATTTTGAGAAAGGTTGCCGAAAAATCATTTTAAGCTACAAAAGTGATTAGTTAATCATCTGTCAATCATTCAGCATTATATAAATAGTGTTTATACAGTAAAATACAGAAACTAATGGTTCTCGAAACGAAGATCTAAGATGCATATTACATTTTCACAGCAAAACAACTCAAGAAACACCCCAAATAATGCTTTAAATTTTGAGAAAGGTTGGCAAAAAATCATTTAAAGCTACATTAATCAGTTTATAATCAGTGAATCTTTCAGCAGTAAAGAAATAGTGTTCATACAATAATTTACAGAAACAAATGGTTCCAGAAAAAAAGATCTAAGATGCATATTATATTTTGACAGCAAAACAACATAAGAAACAATGCAAATAATGCTTTAAACTTAAAAAAAAAGTTGCCGAAAAATCATTTTAAGCTACAAAGTCATTAGTTAATTATCAGTTAATCTTTCAGCAGTATATAAATAGTGTTTATACAGTTAAATACAGAAACTAATGGTTCTCAAAATGAAGATCTAAGATGCAAACAGTTTTATATTTTCACAGCAAAAAAAAAAAAAAAAACACCACAAATAATGCTTTCATTTTTAAAAAAGATTGCTGAAAAATCATTTGAAGCTACATTAATTCGGTAAAATACTGAAACAAATGGTTCTCGAAATGAAGATCTAATGCGTTATTGTATTTTTACAGCAAACTACACAAGAAACACCACGAATAATGCTTTAAACTTTGAAAAAGGTTGCTGAAAAATCTTTTAAAGCTACAAAATGATTAGTTAATCATCAGTTAATCTTTCAGTAGTATAAAAAATAATGTTCATACAGTAAAATACAGAAACTAATGGTTGTCGAAATGAAGATCTAAGATGCATATAATATTTTTCACAGCAAAACAAGAAACAGCACAAATAATGCTTTAAATTTTGAGAAAGGTTTCTAAAAAATTATTATAAGCTACAAAAGCGATTAATTAATCATCAGTTAATCTTTCAGCAGTATAGAAATAGTGTTTATACCGTAAAATAGATAAACTAATGGTTCTGGAAATGATGATCTCATGCGTTATTATATTTTCACAGCAAAAAAAAAAAAAAAACACAAGAAACTCCACAAATAATGCTTTAAATTTTGAGAAAGATTGCCAAAAAATAATTTTAAACTACATTAGTCAGTTTATAATCGGTTAATTTTTAGCATTACCCTAAAAAAGCCCTATTAATGCATTTGATTGCCGGTTGACAAGTATGCATTTTGAAAATTAAAGGAATTAAATGGAAGTAAAAAAAATTGCCTAAATATAACAACAGGCAAAACATGTGAAACAATGTGTTTAAAAAACATGGTACAGCAAAAATACAAAAGTCCTTCATATTCTATGATGTGCAAATGTATATAAAACTCCCTGACTCCAAAATACCATTATATTTTATGACCCTTGAAAAACCATGTCATTCAGTACTGAAAAAACAATCTTTTAAGTTAAAAGTTTACTGGTCAAAAGTGAAGTCTAAATCCAGGTAATTCTTTACTTGTATGTTCTGTTTTCGGATGAGGAAAGAGTCAATGAGTCCTCTGCAGTCAAGCGGGTTCAAAGTCTCCTGTAAGACATCTGCCAGGGTCTGTATTTGCCTCCTGGTGCTTTCCATATTTTTCATTAGCTGTCTCCAGGTCTTAATCCAGGGACCCAAAAATGGACACATGTTGTAGATCTGCAAGAAGAGACACAAACAGCTTTAAAAGGCACCTGTTTGACTGACAAAACGAGTTTTAGACAATCATTTTAACAGCACTTATGCATGTGAGTCAGTTCACTGTTAAAAATAACCCAACCCTCAGTTAAACCGAGCCTGGTTTCTCTCTAGGACTTTTTTTCCTTCACTTTGGTCAATTGATGAAGTTTGTTCCTCCACTGTCGCCGCTGGCTTGCTTGGTTTGGGACTTGTGCAGCTGCGCATCAATGGATTTGCTCTTCAGTGTTTGGACTTTCAGCAGTGAAAATTAAACCACACTGAACTGAACTAAACGGAACTTCAGCTCTGAAAACTGAACTGACACATTTCAATTTACTAGAACTTCTATGTTAAGCTGCTTTGACACAATCTACATTGTAAAAGTGCTATAGTAATAAAGATGAATTGAATTAAAATTAACTTAGCTGATGATTGATTATAAAGAGCGTTTGGCATGCTGTCCCGGCAGAGAGCCCTGAGCTCATAAGATCCTCGAGCCCGGGGCTCTCTACCGTTTGCAGGGCGAGAGTGGAGCTTGAGCTCAGGTAGATCTTGAGAACTCCCCTGCTTATTTATGGCTAATGACAAATTAGGAATTGCTATGAAGAGATATACTGCTGACTAAGAGCTCATCTGTTGTGCCAATTTGGTTTGGTCAATTCACTTATGTCACATGTCTTTGGACGGTGGGAGGAAAACAGGGAACCTGGGGGAAATCTACACGAGCACAGAGAGAACATGTAAACTCTGCACAGAAACATTGACTGGCTTGGTAAAGACTTGAACCAGTGACATTCTTCCTGTGAACTGCTAACCACTGGGTCACCGTACCTCCCAATCTAGGAAAGGAGGAGGAGTGGGGGTGGAAGGGGGATTCTTCAAAATGAAGATAACTAAGGTATGAAACAGGTTATTAATGGTGACTTAGGAATCGTTTGATTGGTGAATCATGTGTTAGCTAATCCAGCACCAGCTGTGGTCAATCATAAGGATGTGATCCTCTCGAAATTAGTTTTGGAAAATGGTTCATTGTTGTATTAAAATGGTTTTTACACTTTACAGTTGCTATTTTAAGAACTCTTTGGCAAAAGGTTCTTTGTGGAATCCAAAATAATCTTCTATGACATCCCAAAGACTCAACTGCTTGGGTTGAATTGGGACGGTTAATCCACCACCATATAAAAGTATGTAAATTTAGTAGAATTTTGCTAACGGGATGCATAATGAGGTGCAAGCAGGTTGTTTTATTGGCAAAAGTCCATCTGTGAACTGAATTTAATGCACACAGCAATTAGAAACAAGTGATTTGATGAAAAGAAGTGTGACCTGTTCTTTTAGTCTTTTTAAATACTGTACAATTTCAGAGGTTTGAAAGTACTGGCTGGAGGTTTTACCAAGAAGGCACAGCAATTGAACAAGAACTTAACATTTTGTATGCTTCCTAATGTTATAGGGCAAATCTGCTAACCATTCTAACAATGCAGTCTGTGAAATTAAAAAAATCATCAATCAACAATTATGTAGGGTTAAGTTGATTGTAATGTTTTTAATCCAGTTGGAAATGTGATCAGAAACACGGCAGAGTAGAAATCTGCCCGTGACTGGATTTTTAATCCCACTCCCACCAGGCTTTATTCCACACCTGACTTCTCCCGCCATATATTCAGTCTTTGTTCACCCACTGCCCGATTGCTTCGTTTTCTACCCAACCCGTCTGTTCCCGCTAAATTTAGATCTGGTTTCCAAAATCTCACATTCAAATTGGGTACCATCAAAAGATAGAGAGACAACAGATTAAAGTGTAGGTTGGATAAATGTCAGTTTTATTTGCCCCTCTGTGATAAGACATGGGTGCCGCATGACATGCGGTGAGGTTTGTGGCTGGTGAGGCACTGACTTTTTCAAAGTCAGATTTACAAATATATCCGCTCAATTTATTCGCCAACTACCGATTGTGTTTCATATATTGTATCAGCATTTTTTCTATACACATAGCAGGTACATATTGGGCCAAGGAAAACTGTAAAATGTATAGCGATTAAATATGCCTCCCAAAAAACACCCAGCTGGAAGCTACAGAGTCCAGACAGCCTATAACAAGTGACCACAGCACCACGGCGGAAGCTCTCTCTCTCACTCTGTCTAGATATATATGTCACTTTAAGCTGTATAGAAGTGTCTTGAAAATTATTTAGTAAAATATTATTTACTGTCATCATGGCAATGAGTTATTAAAGAAATTAGTTATTAAAACTATAAAGTTTTGAAATGTGTTGAAGAAAATCTTCTCTCCATTAAACAGAAATTGCGTGAAAAAAATTGACAGGGGGCTAATAATTCTGACTTTAACTGTATATATATATATATATATATATATATATATATATATATATATAATTTTATCTTTGCCAGGAAGACAGTAAATAATATTTGACTAGATATTTTTCACACTTCTACACAGCTTAAAGAGACATTTAAAGGCTTAACTAGGTTACTTAGGTTAACTAGGCAGGTTAGGGTAATTAGCAAGTTATTTTATAACGATGTTTTTTTTTTCTGTAGACTTTCAAAAATATATATTGCTTAAAGGGTCTAATAATTTTCAACTTAAATGGTTTAAAGACAAATTAAAAACTGCTTTTATTCCAGCCAAAATAAAGAAAATAAGACTTTTTTCAGAAGAACAAATACTATCAGACATACTGAGAAAATTCCCTTGCTCTGTTAAACATCATTTTGGAAATATTTAAAAAAGAAAAAAAAATCAAAGGGGGGCTGATAATTCTGACTTAAACTGTATATATTAAGAACTGTTCACTGGAAAAGTCTTTGGAGAACCAGAAAACGTTTTTTTCTATGGCACTTTGGAATCCTCCAGTTGAAACACAAGCAAAGTGTTCGGTTTCCTATTATTTTAAAATTCTTTAAATTCCATCTGTATGGAGCGGTTTCAGGTTACCATATAAGGAACACCTAAAGCTAGATCCACGACTGGTCCACACCAGCATGAGGAACCAAGGTTAATATTTTCCCATTTTCATTTAGTTTAAAGGGGCTGTAATGTGCAGATAGCTTGCAGGATTGTCTGCGAAAGATGTCATTGGCAACCTTTATTTTGTTTTAAATATTCATGATACTAAAATAAGTTTTGCACAAGAAAAACCAGTGGTGAGTACCTGTATCACAGCAGAACCAATCATACGGATGTTCATGTTTGCTTTGTTCACCATATCCTGAAACGCTGGGTCCTCATATTCAAACCGTTTCCCATAAACAATAGCTGAGATGATGTTGGAGACGGCATAGTTTACCGGTTGGGTTGTATCAAATGGTTGTCCTGCAAGGCAAATACAGAGAGGAGATTTATTGTAAATTGATATGTAGAAAAGAAAAGCATTCGCATCGGCGATCGCTCTACGGTACCTTCAAACTTCATAAACACTTCCCGCAGATAACGTGTTTCATCCACGATTTTTTCTTCACTCAGTTTTTTGCCCATTCCAAAGTCTCGAAGAGTTGAGAGAGCGAATCTTCTCATCGTCCTCCATCTTTCACCATTTGCAAAGACGATTCCTGAAGAAAAACATTAGACATGTTTCCAATCAAAGATGCTAATTATTTGCACAAAACTAGATTATCACATAAAACATTTGCAAATAAAGCAATTTCCAACTAATGAGTCAAAAAGAACAAAATCATCACTTCCTGGTGCCAAATATCAAAACTGAAAAAGAGAAATTGGTGGCAGGAGAAACCACCGAGGGAGCTTTTTTACTATATAACATATCACTTGTGCCTCAGATGATGACGAAAATTATGGTGGCTTTTGGAGGTGTAAGGCGATCTAGGGGTTTAGCAGACACTCAAAACAGTTCTGGAGAAGAGAAACATAATAATACTGAACCACTTTGATGATGGACTTTGGCTGAGGGATTTGAACTGCTTGTTAATGCAAATTTCTAATCAGCCAATCACATCGCAGTAACTCAATGCATTAAGGCTTGTAGATATGATCAAGAAGATCTGCTGCAGTTCAAACCGAGCATCAGAATGAGGAAGAAAGGTGATTTAAGTGACTTTGAACGTGGCATGGTGCCAGACGGGCTGGTCCGAGTACTTCAGAAAATGCTGATCTACTGAAATTTTCTTGCACAATCATTTCTAGGGTTTACAGAGAATGATCTAAAAAAGAGAAACTATCCAGTGAGTGGCAGTTCTGTGAGCACAAATGCCTTGTTGATGCCAGAGTTCAGAGGAAAATGGCCAGACTGGTTCCAGCTGATAGAAAGGCAACAGTAACTCAAATAACCACTCGTAACAACCATGGTATGCAGAAGAGTGCACATCTCTTAATGCAAAACACATCAAAACTTGAGGCGGATGGGCTACAGCAGCAGAAGACCACAATGGGTGCTTCTCCTGTCATCTAAAAACAGGAAACAGAGGCTATAATTCACACAGGCTCACCAAAAATGGACAACAGAAGATTGGAAAACGTTGCCTGGTCTGATGAGTCTCGATTTCTGCTGCGACATTCAGATGATAGGGACAAAATTGGGCTCATCAACATGAAAGCATGGATCCATCCTGCCTTGTATCAACAGTTCAGGCTGCTAGTGGTGATGTATTGGTGTGGGGGACATTTTCTTGGCACACTTTGGGCCCATTTTTATACTAATTGACCTGAGTATCATTGCTGGCCATGTCTATCCCTTTATGACCACAGTGTTCCCATTTTCTGATGGCTATTTGCAGCAGGATAACGCACAATGTCATAAAGTACAAAACATCTTAGACTGGTTTCTTGAACATGACAATGAGTGTACTCAAATGGCCCCCACAGTCACCGGATCTCAATCCAATAGAGCACCTTTGGGATGTGATGGAACTAAAGATTCGCATCATGAATGTGCAGCCGACAAATCTGCAGCAACTGCGTGATGCTGTCATGTCAATATGGAACAAAATCTCTGAGAAATATTTCCAGTACCTTGTTGAATCTATGCCATGAAGGATTAAGGCAGTTCTGAAGGCAAAAGTGGGTCCATACCGGTACTAGTAAGCTGCACCTAAAAAAGTGGCCGGTAGCTACAAGCAGCAATTAAGGGAGCAGAATGAGCAAAGCAGTCCAGAGGTCATGAGCAACAAGCTTATTAGGGAGCATCCAACAAAGTGAAACAATGAGCTTTTGAACACACTTGAAGTATATTTCACTTAAATTATCTCAAAATCATGAAAACATTTGGTCAGCTCACTGGTTTGTCCAATAATGCCATCCCATTGCAGCTGTTTTTACCACAACATGATCTTTTAAAGCAACATCACCTTACTTTTTTATATTTATTCAGTAAATGTGTATCCATCATAGTTTATGTACATTTTTCTTATCATTTAAAAAGTTTATCCTACACAGTTGTGCCCATCTATCCGTATTCATAAATTGCCACCACATTATAACTTTTGCCTGATTTTTAATCCTATATTATGTTACTTTTTATATAGGATAGATTGGTTGCTGCCAATGATTAAGCTCAAGAGCCACAAACATGCAGTGTCATATTAATCTTATAGTTGATGTTTTACCTTGTCCCTGATTACAGTCCTGGAATATCGGTGTAATGTCCCTTTCTCCAAATTCCTCGGCCTGGTTCACAAGTGCTTGTTTAACTGTTTTGTACCCGGCCAGAACCACAACCTTCTTGCGTCCTAAATGCACTTTGAACACAGGCCCATACTTCTTAGACAACTGTGAAACACAAAACCGATTATTGCAAGATATACTTTGATTTTATTAGCTGTTATTAGCTACAACTCATGAACAAGCAAAGCTTTTAAGTGGATCTTAAAGGCATATTTCACCCAAATATGACAATTCTGTCATCATATACTTTCTTCACCTATCTCAAACCTGTTTGAGTTTCTTTCTTCTGTTGAACACAGAGAAATATATACTGAAGAAGGTTGGAAAGAAGCAGTCATTGACTTATTTTCTCGCTTTTTCAAATCTGCCCACAAATTTTCTATAGGATTGAGGGTCAGGGCTTTGTGATGGCCATTCCAAAAAACTCACTCTGTTGAGCTTAAAGCACATTTTAACTAATTTGGCAGTATGCTTAGGGTCATGGTCTGTTTGGAAGACCCATTTGTGGCCATGTTTTAATTTCCTGGCGGATGTCTTGAGATGCTGCTTCAGTATTTCTACATTATGGCTGTTTCTCAATATGCGTTCTTCAGCGGTCTTGCGTCCTCGTGTTCTCGTGCAACGTCATCATCAGCTGCCTAAGTTCAGTTCCAATACTCAAGACCGCAAGTACGGAGGACGCGTGAAACTTCCCGGATGTGTTCTTGATATCGAGGACGCACCGATGCAGACTTGAGTACCGAACTCGCTCTGGAAGTCCCAGAAGTCATTGCGACTGGAGGTGGGAAGCGCTGCATTTTATCTAGATTTATTATTAAAGTTCAGAGATATCACTTATATACCTCAGGAGTTTTCCTAAATGAAACGGTGAAAGTAAACATTACCATGGACATCTTAATAAAGGAATAAACACATTAAGGGTGTTTGTTTGCTGAAATTCGTATTAAAATGTGTTTTATTTATATTGTGCAGAGTATATTTATAATGTTTTTATGCAAAGTATATATTTTGAAGAGGGGAAAAACAATAAATTGCTGTATGAATGCTGTAATGTTTAAATAATTTCCATTTAAAACGCGTGAAGGTCACGTGACCATCAGGAAGAACGCAGCATCCCATTTCTCAAAGGACGCGTTCTCTGTCCTCGCGGTCTCCTGAGTTCGTTTTTCTGAGGACACCTGGCAAGACCGCTCTCCACAAGAACACAAGTCCGTTCTCTGCGTTCTTGGAATTGAGAAACAGCCAATGTTCTTTCTTCATGATGCCATATAGCTGTGAAGTGGACCAGTCCTTCCTGCAGGGAGGGGGGTCCGGGATCCAATCATAAAGGATCCAAGCATGCTTTCCGCATTTATTTTTACCTCTCCCTCTCCATAAAGTGCATTATAAGTACCTTTAATTAAATTACTTAAAAATGAAAAATCATAGTTTATTTTATTTGACTTTTCAGAGAAAAAGTAATTTAATTACAGTAATTACAGCACTCTAAAACTAATTAATTACACCCATAACTGATTATTGTCAACCCAAAACATTAATTAGAAAACCTTATTTTACAATTTTTTGGTCATTTTTTATAATAGAGAAATACTAAAAATGCCATGTGAATGAAATACCCTAGAATTTAAAGGTATTAAGATAAGATTTGACTTTAAATGCATATATGAAATCCATATCTTTCTACTTTGAAATGTCATGCTGATTTTGATGTGTTACAATGTGTTGTTTGGTATTTGTGTTAGCAAATTGAAATAAAGTAGCCAAGTTTCACTGTATATATAAGGCTGTAGCTGACATTTAGCAATTGTCTACCCTTTTCAGGAGTTGAATTCTCTCACACTTAAACATCAGGTTTGAAATAAGAAAAATATGAAATAAATTATTCTATATTTCTTGTTAAACGACATATTAAATTCCTTTTTTGAAATACATCACATTCAAGAAAGAAAAAGCAAGCACCAAGGACCTTTGCCTTAATACATGGCAAAAACCTGTAAATGTTTAGCCTTTTTTTTTTTTTTTTTTTTTTGCTGCAATTCCATTATTAGGAAATCCTTTTAAAATGCTAGTCTAATTGGAAATGCCAATTCTTTTAGAAACAATTACAGTCCTGAACTAACTTTTTAAAACAAGGCAAGGAAATAAACTATATTTAACTCACTTCCCAAAGGCTCACGTGCAGGTTTTTTAGGTCCAATGTGTGCAAGTTCCCCAAAAGTGGCAGTGGTTTGGGTCCTGGAGGATCTTCAGGAGAGCTGGAGCTGATAGAGATTAGATAAACAACCAGAAACAACAGCACAGCAGAAAGTAAAACTCCTGTAATGGACACAGGCATGAGCAGAGTCTCCATCACAGCCATAATAACAGAGATCTCCACTACGACAGCGAGTCTTCACACGAGACTGCTGTTGTAACTCAGGTTTCGACATTGTGAAACACACGCTCTACTGAATGAAGGGAGGAGCTGAACACGAACACGGGTTTGTGTTCATGAATTGTGGGGACATTTCCATTGTTTCTATACTGAACTGTATTGCACTATACCCCTACAATATCCCTAAAGCCAACTAGCCCTCACAGGAAACTGTTAGCAGGTTCACTTTCTGAAAAAAAAAAACTCATTCGGTATGATTTATCAGCTTTATGAGAAATGAATACATCAACAATATCCTTATTCATTGGGATAATTTACCATTGCCTTGTAATTCTTGTGTAATAGCCATACAGATTTGTGTCCTAATACGTCACAAAATCACGCGTACGCGCGCACACACACACACACACACTTGTTGTCCGAGCGAACGCACATTTCAGTCAGACTTCTCATCTAAACCCAAATAAAAGCAAGGGAGTGTTTTTTTTTCTTCAGAAAATTATTTCTACGACGAATGGCTCGATCTTCTTTCCCGAAACTTTTCGTCAAGCTCGCGGTATTCGAGTAAACGAGTTACTCAATCAAAACTCTCAGACGTTCACTGACAGCTCAGACTGGAAATGAGTCAGTATCCTACAATTCCGTTTTTGCAAAACCATTCCTGTTTGTCTACTGAGCCAAGTAATATTGAACTACGAATTTATCCCATTATCCAAACCAGTTAGAATTACATAAAGGGCACGATACGTTTGTCTTTTGAAAGTGTAGGCTACTACATGTATAATAGCCTATGGCAAGCCGTTTTGACATTTAATCAATACATCTATTTTCATGTTACTAGTACTTATTCATTAGTGCTTATTCTTTAGATCAGAGATGCCTAAACTAGGCAAAGTTGGCCCATGGTAACCTTTTGGTTTGGCCCGCCATCCCATCTGAGAAGAAAAGGAGAATGATGGTAATATTTTCGAGATTGTCAATTCGAATTTAATGAAACCCTTTGTTCAGGGGTGTCCAAACTCGATACTAGAGGGCCGGTGTCCTGCAGAGTTTAGCTTCAACTTGCTTCAGCACACCTGCCAAGAGGCTTTCAGTTTATCTAGTAAGAGCTTTATTAGCCGGTACAGGTGTGTTTGATTAGGGTTGGAGGTAAACACTCAAGGACACTGGCCCTCCAGGACCGAGTTTGGACACTACTGCCTTTGCTTGTTTTAATTAATTCATTCATTCATTCATTTATTTTCTTGTCGGCTTAGTCCCTTTATTAATCCAGGGTTGCCACAGCGGAACGAATCGCTAACTCCACACATCCACACATACATTCACACACACACTATAGACAATTTAGCCTACCCAATTTACCTGTCCCGCATGTCTTTGGACTGTGTGGGAAACCGGAGCACCCAGAGGAATCCCAAGCAAAGCAGGGAGAACATGCAAACTCCACACAGAAATGCCAACTGAGCTGAGGCTCGAACCAGTGACCTTCTTGCTGTGAGGCGACAGGACTACTCACTGCGCCACTGCTTCACCCTTGCTTGTTTTAATGTTACGAGCTAACTGAAATTGAACGTTTCAATTAAATTCTGTGAATTAATCTGATTTTAGCCTACATACTGTCACCCGACAACGCAGAGACTTTGGTGAGCAAATCAAGGCAAAGGCAGAGTCTGCTTGACTAGTGCAGTCAGCATTGAGCTCCACTGTGTTATACATGTAAATGTTTATGTTTTTATTGCAATATGTTATCATTTAAAAAGTCATACTGCGTTAGTTAATACAATTTAAAGTATTGTTTTCTATTTATTTTGAAATATTTTTAAATAAATGAAAAAATTACCCATGGCAACTTTAATGTAATATACTTTGTTTGGCCCATGGATTTCAATGATGTTTGGTTTTTAGCCCTTTATATGAAAATGTTTGAAGCCCTGCTTTAGATACTAGGGCGTTATCTTTAGCTACTAGTGTCTTATGTGAAGTTACTAGTACTCTACTACCTATTTAATATATAGTACTTATGGATTAGATACTAGTACTTATTATTTACTTATTCATTAGATACTAGGCCTAGTATATATTTAATATTAGGGACTATTACTTATCCATTATACTAGTACCTATTAAATAGATACTTGTCCTTATATTAAATAGAGACAAGTACTTATCTTAATAGTGACTAGTATTTATTCTGTTGTTAGTAGAAAAAAAAATCCATTGATTTAAATTAGATTCGTCATTGAGATATCAACTATTCAGTTTTGACTATAAGTTTTCCAGATGGGACTAGTACATATTTTTATGTACCAGTAGTTAATCATTATGTAGTAGTACTTATGATATATAGTTCTAGATAGTATTAGATAATGAATAAGTAGTACTTAATGAAAAAGATACTAGTATCTAAAAAAAAAAACAAGTAACATGAAAATAGATACTATTACGGGTTATTGATTAATGTCAAAACGGCTTGCTATACTGCGATTACTACAGTGAGTTACACTCACCAAACTCTAGGGGTCACCAAATTCTCACAAATACTCAAAACTGTTGCTATTACCATAAAATGGAGGTCAAATTTGTCAGAGATGAAACAAGAACATTTTTCGAACAACTACATATAGATTAAATGTATAGGCTATTACATTAAAACATTAATTGTGGAAGGATTTCTGTGAACGTTTCTATGTAATGGTTTAAAAACATAATGTAAACATATGGGTGAAATAATGCATGTCATTCACCATTATTTATATGAACTCAAACAAAATGTTTTCACGATTTTTGGGTATAAGATATCCTTTTATATAGGTCCAATGTATGTCTCTTTTGTTTTGTAAACATCCGAATGCCAACTTCTGAAATTAATATTTCAAGAGTTCCCACTTAGGTATGCTTGGCACTTATAGCAGGTTTGGCATGCTGTCCCGGGAGAGAACCCTGAGCTCGGAGATATTTGAGCCCAGGGCTCCCGCCCGGACTAGAAGCATATCAGGAGAACCGAGATCAGGTAGGTCTCGATCGCTCCCCCTTTAGAAGGGGAGAAAAAGGAGGAGATGGGGTGGAAGGGGGGATTCTTCCAAAATGAAGATAGTGCAATGGGGAGAAAGTGATCCATTTATACTAAGCTAGGATCATTCTGATTGGATTATTACTGATTACGGATGAGTGGCCAGCGGTGCACAATCATATCACGTGCTCCTCTCGAAATTATTTTATGAAACTTCACTTAAATGTTCCTTAAAAACAGCAGGCAAGAAAGGAAGGCTTTAAAAACCTCCACAAACACAATGAAAGCTGTAATATAATAAAATATAATAATATTTGACAACAATACTTAAAAAAGGTAAACATTTTTGTTGTGCCTGTATTTTTAAGTTAGCAAAATTATGTCAAGTGGAGAATTTGAATTAACTTAAAATGCTGTATTCTGCTTTCCCAGAGATGGGTTGCGGCTGGAAGGGCATCCGCTGTGTAAAAATGTGCTGGATAAGTTGGCGGTTCATTCCGCTGTGGCGACCCCGCATTAATAAAGGGACTAAGCCCACAAAAAAATTAATGAATGCTGTGTTCTGCATGCCAGGCTAGTAGTATGCATGCCAGTAGTAGTCACGTTTTAAGGACATTCTACATGCTTGTGCAGTGTGCATACAGTCCTATTGCCCATTCATTCACTCATGTCTATACAGATTGAACATAACAATTAATTTTGCATCATCATTTTCAATTTTGCGGATTACATTTATATAGAATTAATTTAGTTAAAATTGTAATTAACAACAATTAAAAATGTATTGTTTAAATTATTGGTCAAAGCATTTAATATTTATCCTCTGTAACACAAATCTACATTTAGGCAAAAATGTAATAAAGAACGCTTAAAAAAAAACAAAAAAAAAAATCTTCATTCATATACTTGGAAGGAGACTTGGAACAATGCATCAGTTGTTGCTTCCAGCTGAATCATTTAAAATAACATGCATTAACAAAATAGATGAGATTAATTTCTATATCATGCTTTCATACTATTTTGTGACAAATACAAGTGACTTTTGTTTGAACACATGAGAACAACTTTACTGTAACAGACTTCACAACCGCTTAACTGCACACAGTTTATGTGCGATCGGGTTCAGTGTAAAGCCTACGGCTGGTGTGAGTTCCAGCTCATCTTCAGACACTCCAGGAGGAGGAGTGAAGCGGAAATACTGAAGGAGAGATGTAAAGAAGAGGAAGAGCTCCATCCTGGCCAAACTCTCTCCAAGACAAATCCTGCGCCCTAACAAAGAGAGAGAGAAAACAAACTTCAACCGTTTTTTCAGTGACTACTTTTGGGAATATTACAATAAATGCACAAAGCAGTAACTTTTACAAAGCCCAACAGAATTAAGCCACAACACAACGTAAATACTCCCGGCAGCACATCAAAGTCAAAGTCAAAGTTTATAACAACCCATTTATGCATTTTTCTGCAGCTTAGTTCCTGATATATCAGGAGTCGCCACAGCAGAATGAACCGCCAACTATTCCAGCATATGTTTTACACAGCGGATGATCTTCCAGCGGCAACCTAGTACTGAAAAACACCCATACACACTTACATTTACACACACACTTATATACTACAGCCAATTTTGTTTACCCGATTCACCTATAGCACATGTCTTTGGACTGTGAGGGAAACCAGAGAACCCAAGGAAACCCCACGCGAACACGGGGAGAACATGTGTAGCAGAAGCCAACTAGTAAGTGTGCAGGTAAGCCTCACTTCTCTGACCTCTAAAGGTGCTCTAGTGACAGACGCTAGAGGCCATGATCTTTAGCCTCCTTGGTAGAGCAACCAATTCCCATGCGGAAAGTTGCCGGTTCGATATCATCTCGGAGTGGGTTGGGTGGTGTAGGACCGGCGAGGTTTCATTGGTGCTATGACCCGGATAGGAGTGAGGTTTAGGAGGGTGAGTGTAGCAGAGACCAGCTAGTAAGTGCTATGCAGGTAAGCCTCACTCCTCTGACCTCTAAAGATGCTCTAGCGACAGACGCTAGAGCCCATGATCTTTAGCCTCCTTGGTAGAGCAACCAACTCCCATGCGGAAGGTTGCTGGTTCGAAACCAGCTCGGGCTCGGAGTGGGTTGGGTGGTGTAGGACCGGCGGGTTTACACATGCAAACCCCACACAGAAATGCCAACTGACCAAACCGGAATTCGAACCATCGACTTTCTTGTTGTGAGTTGACAGTGCTAACCACTGAGCCACAGTACTGCCCTTTTTGGGTAAACCATCCATTTAAATTGTATTGTGCACTACTGGGACACCAGAACACTAGAACAACTAAATTAACTCATATTTCACAAATTTAAAATAATATGAATTAAAATCAAGCTGAATGGCAAGAAAACTACCTGCAGAGAAGGGCATGAATGCGTCTCTTTTCACAAATCGACCCTGCTCATCCAGAAAGTGATTGGGGTTAAAGATGTGGGGTGTTTCCCATTCATCCTCATCCCACAGTACAGAGGTTAGTAGAGGAAATATACAAGTACCCTGGAAAATAAAAAAACATAGGCCTACTGTAGTTGTACATATGTATATCACAAACAATGGGTTGCACAACCGTTGTACAGCAGGTTTAAAAAACAGTGTGTTACGGTACTTTATAATTTTGTATTGATTTATTGTACTTTATGGTTTTCTATTTATAGATTTATGCTGCTGACCTTCTTGATGAAGTATCCATTGAAGGTAATGTCAGAGCTGGTCATATGAGGGATGCTCATGGGTACTATGTTGGCCAGTCGTTGGGTTTCATGGATAACAGCATCTGTATATGGTAAGTTCTTCCTGTCTTCTGAAACCGGTTGTCGGCCACCGATTACCTGGTCAATCTCCTCCTGAACTCGATCTGTGGATATATCACATTTAACGGGACAGTTCAACCCAAAATGGAATTTTTTTCACTATTACTTCCCCTTATGTAGTTTCAAATCTTTGTGAGTTTCCTACTTCTATTAAACACCAAATATGTTGTTTTGAAAAATGTTGGAAACCAGTAGTCAAAAGGTACCAGTTTATAGCATGTATTTATATATTTTCTTTTGTGTTCAACAGACAAGTTTGGAGCAAGTCGAGGGAAAGTAAATTATGACAGAATAATTGACAAATGATGACAATTGTGTTATCATTGCATAAATGAATTCAAGTACATTAGGGATGGGAAGATTAATCGATATGTATCGATACGCGGTCATGCGCGTGCACGATGCGAGTGCATCGGTTGAGCAGCAGAGGATGAATGAAATTTTGGAAGCAAATCGAGATGCATCGGTTTTTGCGAGATGCATCGGTTTTTCCGAGATACAGCTTATTTTTTTAATATAGAATGTATTTTTTATTTATTAACAAGTGTTGTCAACCTGTTTTTGGCGCATAATTTAATCGACCTACATAAAGTAAGCCTTAGCAACGGATTTGCGGATGTGTACACTCACACTACAACTCAGTGTATCAGGTGTGCGGATGAAGCTAGTGGTGCGCCCTCAGAAAGCGCGAGAAGCAAAACAAACATTTTATTCCCCACTGAGTTTTAAATCTAAAGTATGGCAACATTATGGATTTAAGGATGGACGACTTGACAGGACAGATGCAATTTGCAAAATGTGCCGCGCATCTATAAAATACGCGGGCAGTACGAGTAATCTGAAATCTCACTTGAAGCGGCGCCACGGTGTTGTTGTGAAAGCATTGTGAGAAAAGCATTGCAAGTTTTTTTTTCCATGCGCAAAAGTTTTGTGCGCTCTATGCCAATAACGGATGTTATTGCATTGTTCATCTGCAGGGCCGGAGCAAGCTGAACTGCTGCTCTAGGCAGAGGACGATCACGCCGCCCTCAACCCCAATGTGAAAACGAAAGTGACCGGTTATGAAAATGAAGTGACGTGTCGCGGACCTCTATTCTGCCGCCTTATGCGCGGATATAACTGAGGACGCGCGGGTGTCGCGGACCTCTATTCTTCCGCCCTATGCACGGATATAACTGAGGACGCGCGGGTGTCGCGGACCTCTATTCTTCCGCCCTATGCACGGATATAACTGAGGACGCGCGGGTGTCGCGGACCTCTATTCTTCCGCCCTATGCGCGGATATAACTGAGGACGCGCGGGTGTCGCGGACCTCTATTCTGCCGCCCTATGCGCGGATATAACTGAGGATGCGCGGGTGTCGCGGACCTCTATTCTTCCGCCCTATGCGCGGATATAACTGAGGACGCGCGGGTGTCGCGGACCTCTATTCTGCCACCCTATGCGCGGATATAACTGGGTGTTGCGGACGCCGCCCTCTCTATACTGCCGCTCTAGGCGGTTTTAAACACCTCCTCCTGTTAATTTTTATTTAATTATAATAATAATAATATTAATAATAATAATGATAAAAATAATGGGTGTCACGGTGGCACAGTAGGTAGTTTGACCACCTCACAGCAAGAAGATTGCTGGTTTGTTATATTTTTATTAGCCTGTTGTTTACAGTGACAGTGATGTTTCAACGCAGCATAACACTGCTAGTTCACGACCTTAAGTTTTGAATATTCAGTGGCAAAATATATCTTTGTAAAACTTGTTTTCATAGTTGAAAAGTTAAATTACAATTCTTGTTGTGCAATGCTAAACCTTTATGTTGAAAGAGTGCAAATATATATATTTTAATATATATTGCACTTATCCATTCTGTTTATCTTGAAAATACTTAAATAATATGTGCTATAGGTTCTAAAATGGCCCTCTACTGTAAACTGACACTCTGGCTCTGAGAGAAAAGCCAGTTTGTAAAAAAAGTCTTGGTTTTGCTTGGTTAATAAATAATCAAACTCATTCAATGGCACAGCATCCTCTTTCACATCATCTCATAAACTTGATTTAATTAGTTAGTGCTGAATTATCGCATCGTATCGTGATATGGGTGTGAATCGTATTGTGTCGCATCGCAATATGTCATAAATTTATCGCTAATATATCGGATCGTATTCTTTGTATCGAGATGCGTATCGGATCGGCATTATAGCTTAGATGCCCAACCCTAAAGTACATTACTTTCCAATTCCGATCGGGAACTTATCTGGCGATTCCCAATAATGTCATTCTTTCAGATTTACAACAGTAACTAAGACAATAATATGGTTCAAAACACTGTAGTAATGACTATAAATGACTATATTATTTTTTCACATGAATACTGTCGTGTTATTTGCATCTTCTGCTTATGCCTTTGAAACTATTTTTTGGCAATTATCTTTTAGCATATGGCCTAATGCATTTACTCGGATTCTGCTCCCAGATTACCCCTCTTCCTATGTTTCAGCTGATTTCCTCAGCATTATACCAGCTCCTGGAAATCCATTATCACCCTGCTCCATAACTCCAGCAATTCAAATCTCCTTCTCATCATTGTTTTCCTGTCTGTGTTGTGTTCTTGGATCTCCTCAGCAGTATACCAGCTCCTGGAAAATTACTATCATTACCAGCCTGCTCCATAACTCCAGTAATCCAAAGAAACAACTCAATGACACCCCCTACCGGATTCACGTTATTACTGGCAGTCCATTAGGCTGAGGACAGTTTCGTCCCTGCATTGGGTCCATCTCGACCGTTTCATGTTGAGAATATCTTACTACTGGTTCTAGAAGATTCCATCTCTGGGATTGTTTTAGGGTACCCATGGCTCATTTCCCATTGTCCTTCAATTGACTGGGCCACTGAAGAAGTCCTGAAGTGGGGTGAAAGCTGTTTCCCTAAATATTTCCCATATCAAAAAAGTCTGCTGCTCCTTCCCCTTGTCAATCCTTCGGTCTCCTTGGTCTCACATAGGAGTAGACTTTGTCACTGACTTACCCACATCTGATAGTAACACATGTTTTTTTGTTGCAGTGGACCAGATTTACAATGTCTGTCATCTTGTACCATTGAAGAGCTTACCCATGGGTATGGAGACAGCGGAAATCTTGTTTAACTATGCGTTCCAAAACTATGGCATCCCAGAAGAAATCGACTCTGATCGAAGTCTTCAGTTCATCTCCTGAGTCAGGAGAGCATTCTTCTTGCCCTTAGGTGTGACAGTGAGCCTGTCTTCTGGTTATCTTCCCCAGAGCAATAAGCAAACAAATACAAATTTAAAAGATAGGCCAATCTCTCCGTACCTTTTGTCACGGCCGTTAGAACTCCTGAAACCAATGCCTTAGGTCACAGGTGTCAAACTCAGTTCCAAAAGGGCCGCAGCTCTGCACAGTTTAGTTCCAACCCTAATTAAACACACCTGATCAAACTAAGGGCCTACTCACACTATGCCATCCGTACCGTGCCCAGGCCCGTTTCCCGGATCGTTTGAGAAGTGTGAGTGCGCTGAATCGGGCTCAAGCACGGTTCACTTGGCCGGCCCTGGCCCGGTTGGAAGAGGTGTGCCTGAGCGCGGATCACTTGGGCTTTGGCGCGGTACGCTTGTGTGTGAGCGCAAAACGCGCTAAAGCCCGAAACCGAAAGCGAGACGTGACTTTTAAGGGGCTGTTTCATATGGATTTATTAATCATTCTTACTGTTCAGTGATCGCAAACTGCCGTAGTTTATTAAAGACGCAAACTCCTCACTGGACGTCAGCTGCGCACCTTCAGCAGACATCCTCATTCCTGCAGCACGAGGGCTTTATGATTGTTTATGAGCGCCAAGTGGCGGATCTGTTCGGTAAAATATCTGACTGCGTGTCACCGCATCCCTAAGGACTGTTTGGCGAAATATTTGACTGCATGTCACTGCATAACAAACGACTGAAAGGATATAACTAGAGAAATCTCCACTGTGCTGCTGGGTGAGAGCGTATGGCAAGCCGTTTTAGCATTTAAACCTTGTTCTGACTATCCATAAATATATTTAGAGATATAATTATATTTTGACTAGTCATTGTTATAATTCGACTTGTCAGAATGACAATTAGAGATATCTGCAATTACAATTGTACTAGTACGAAATCAGATTGGAGATATCTGCAAATATAGCCTATTATGACTAGTCATATTCCTCCATTGACTTCCATTGAAAAATATTTGCAGATATCTCTAACTGAGTTTTGACTCGTCAAAAATCCAATTCAAGATATCTACAACTGTAATTCGACTATTAGTAAATTAATTAGAGATATCTTCAAATATATTTGTAAATATCTCTAAATATTACGAATTAAAGACATCTCCAAATGTATGACTAGTAAAAACTCAGTTAGAGATATCTCTAATTACAATTGTGACTAGTCAAAACTCATTTAGAGATATCTGCAAATATTTTTCAATGGAAGTCAATGGAGTAATATGACTAGTCATAATATTTTTGCAGATATCTCCAATCTGATTTCGTACTAGTACAATTGCAATTGCAGATATGTCTAATTGTCATTCTGAGTAGTGGAATTATAATTATGACTAGTCAAAATATAATTAGAGATATCTCTAAATATATTTATGGAATCAGAACAAAGATTTAAATGCTAAAAAGGCTTGCCATAGAGAGCGCTTCTGAACAGCGCAGCAGCGATGACGTAAGCGTGCCGAGGCCCGATATGGTGTGAGCGCGGGCCGTCGGGGGAGACGGAAGGGAGGACAAGCGTGCTTTGGCCTGGTTCGAGGCAACTGTACCTAGTGTGAGTACGGCCTAATTGAGTCCTTCAGGCTTGTTTGAAACCTACAGGTAAGTGTGTTGGAGCAGAGTTGGAACTAAACTGTGCAGGGCTTCGGCCCTCCAGGTATTGAGTTTGACACCCCTGCCTTACGTGGACAGAGTAGGCACAAAACTCCCTCCACAGAACTCACGCCTTTTCAATGAGCACTCGGTTACCAACCACCTCTGTTCTTCTTGTCTGGGGAACCCTTGGAAGTACCATCAGTCAATCATTGGTTTTGGGAGAGTGAGGGTATGAGACCCAAATCACCAACACCTCCAGCAGCAGTAAGATGTCACACCATCCAGGTGAATGTCCGGAAAGCCCTCACTCCATTGTACCATCCAGGACAGAAGGTATGGCTCTCCACCAGGGACAATCACCTGAAACTACCCTGCAAGAAGCGTCCCAGGTTCATTGGTCTCTTCTCCATCATCCGCCAAGTCAACCCTGTATCGATTGAACTCAAACTACCTTCACAGTACAGCATTCACCCAACATTCCATGTGTCACTCCTCAAACCCTATCACTCACCTGTTGTTCCTGTTTCCCTAGTGCCTGGTCTCAGTGACAGAACCCCCGAAACAATGACCATGGAGGATGGAACCACATACTCTTTAAAGGAGATTCTGAATTCCATACCTTGTGGGGGTAGACTTGAATACTTGGTCAACTGAGAGGGGTATGGACCCGAGGAGAGGTCATAGGTCTACATGAACAACATTCTTGATCCCGATCTCCTGACAGAGTTCCACTCCACTCCAGTGTCCAGCACCATGCAGCCAAAGAAGGCTTCCACAAAGTCGGATCTTAAAGACTTCAGGAGCAAGTCCATAGAGAGGGTGGTTCTGTCACGGAACTTCAAGGCTCTCCTACTAATCACTAAGATCCCAGTTTTGAGTTCAAGCTCAGTTGATAACCATTCCCTATTCTGCACCACCCTCTAAAATAGCACCCTGTTTGGTCTTTGGTCTGGTCTCCCTCATGGATAGTATCCTCTCATCATGCTCCCAGACTCACTCCAATGCTACAAGTGATTACCCCTTCATGTTGCAGCGATCCTAATCTCCTTCTCATCCTAGCATTCCTGCCTGTACTGTGTTCTCAGATTTCCTCATTATACCAGCTCCAGAAAATTCACTACCATTATTACCTAGCTCCATAACTCCAGTCATCCAAAGACTTCTATTGACTCTTATTGCATATACACATATGTACAGTTTCTAAACCTGTCTGTTTGTTACTAACTGCCTATCTGAGTCCTGTCTAACCATAATATGCTTACTATAGTAGTTGTGCTAATATAGCAACAATGGAATTACAGCAACAGATCAATTCAAGTACTTTACTATATTGTTCAAAAACACTATACTATTTGCTATATTATTTTTTCATATGGGACTGTAACCCAGATATTTGAGGGTTTCACAGAAAATGAACCCAATTTGATTTTAATTTTCCCAATAACAAACAAACAAACATATACATTCACTTTATGCCACGGAAATTGCGTTTGAGTTCAACTTGTGCTAAATATTCCAGTATATTCAGTATATTCCAGCATTATTTCAGTCATACCCTGTATGTGTGGATATTTGGCCATCAGCAGCAGACTCCAGCGCAGTGTTGTGCTAGTAGTGTCCGTACCAGCGACAAACAGATTTCCTACTGTGTAAATGAGGTTCTGTTCATGGAAATGTGAATCCTTCTCTCCAGAATCCTGATCAAATAGTACAATTCGAGAGGTATAGAGGTAAAAAAAAAATCAAGAGCTGCTTAAAAAAAAAAAAAAAAAAAAAAAAAAGGTTACCTCTGCATACTGCTTCCTGACAAGAAACGAATCAACAAATCCTCTGAGGTCCTGATGGTTTAATGTTTGATGTAAACCGTTCACCAGCTCTGAAATCTCTTCAATATCAAGATGTAGGTTTTTCATGAGCTGTCTCCAGTTTTTGAGCAACGGGCCCAAGAAAGGGAACATGTTGTAGAGCTGCAGAACAAAAACAAAGTCTTTACCATGGCAAATGTGTGTTGTTATGAGCATAGAGTATTTTTAAGCATAGAGTATTTTTAATTGATATGTGAACCTGTACTGATGCTGATCCACTCAGTCTGACGCTCTCATTAGCTCGATCCACCATGGTCCGTAGCTGAGGATCTGTATACTCGAATCTGCGGCCATACACAATGGAGGAGATGACACTTGAAGCTGCATAGTTCATGAGTTGTGCGGTTTCAAAAGGCTTTCCTGCACACACACACATGGTCATCAGTACATTTGCCAAGCTTACCTATATCACTGTATTTATCTTGATATGTGGGGTTAATTTGCAAAAAAACATTTTTAGTCGTCTTGTTTATGTTTTGCCGCCTTTGCATTGACCTCTTTGCTTGTGACAACGACTACTCTTTTGAATTGTCTTCATGCTACCGTTTGCACCTGTTTTGACCTTTGCATGCCTGACTCACCTCTAAAGAAACTGCATTTGGACCTTCACCGTTGTTGTCCTTGAATCCACTAAAAGCCCTGCCAAGTGCATGCTCTCTTAAAAGTGCTTTAAAATGACCTAATGAGGTACAGCATCTAATAATTCCATACATTTATAAAGCGCTTTACATATTGGAAGGAATCGTTTCATCCACAACCATTGTGTAGCATTTACCTGAATGACGCGAAGGCAGCCATATTGCGCCAGACAATTATGATATGGAGATGGTTGGAAGGCCATGATGGACGGAGGCCAGTGGGCAAATTTGACCAGGATGCCAGTGTTAAACTCTTACTCTTTTTCAAAGGACATTCTGGGATTTTTCACGACCACAGAGAGTCAGGACCTCGGTTTAACTTCTCATCCGAAAAACGGCACTCACTGAGAAGTATAAGGTCCTCTTCACTATACTGGGGTATTAGGACCCACACAGATCACAGCTTTAGCGCCCCCTGCTGGCCTCACTAACACCACGTCCGGCAGCAACCTTGCTTTCCCATGTGGTCTCCCATGCAGGTACTGACCAGGCGCAGCCCTGCTTAGCTTCAGTGGGCGACCATGTGAGAGTTGATGAGAGCTAGCTGTCGGCTAAACATCTAAATTAGATGAAAATTTAAAATATCTAAAATATCTTGAAAATATCTAAAAAGCACTAGGGAAATATTAGGAAAAGAAAGAGGGCTGATAGTTTTGACTTTGTCTTTAACATTATTACTATTACTTTATGATAAATCATAGGTTGTAGTATCCTTATTTAGTAAAAGCCTGGCTAAATGATAAACATTCTTCACCTTCAAACTTCTCAAACTCCTCTCGTAAATGGCATGTTTCCTCGATGATTTTCTCCTCAATTTTTTTCTTTCCCATCCCAAAGTCTCGTAAATTGGTGAGAGCAAACCGTCTCATCTCTCTCCAGCTCTCTCCATTGGCAAATATTATTCCTACAAAGATGATTAACTTCAAAGATTAAAACAGCCAAACAATTTAATAAAAGTTTACTTATTTACAGTGTTTATTTAGTTGGATTTAATGCATGAACTGAAAATGAAGACCTCAACAAAGCAACGCAAAGTCTTTTTGCATTTAAATGTGTTACAAATGCATAACTTCAGTGGGAATAAATGAGTGATCACACTTTACAATAAGGTTTCATTAGTTAATATTAGTTAATTTATCTTTTAACATGAACAGAAAATAAAAAATACAGCATTTATCACTTGTAACACCAATGCTTTAATTAAATCCATTTATTGCGTGTTGTTTATTATTTGTTAATACATTAACTAACATTAACTAATGGAACTTTATTGTACAGTGTTACCAAAAATACACAATAATAATATGTCTGCATAAAGTTATAATGTGGCAACAATGTTAATGAGTGTACTGTTAATTGTAACTCAACATTCTTCGCCAGTATCCTTCACATCAAAACTATTTTACCCATTTGTCAAGATTTTAATCAAGTAAATTATACTACAATTCAGCATGATCACTTATTTTATATGACTGATCAGGAGATTAAAGTACCCTTACCATGACCTTTGGTGAAATCATGGAAAAGTGGCATGATTTCTCTGTCTCCAAATGCTTCTGCATAATTAACAAGCGCTTGCTTCACTGCTTTGTAGCCGGCAAGCACAACCACTTTCTTCGGACCAAAGTAGACTTTAAAAACTGGGCCGAACTGCTTTGCCATCTGATAAAAAAGTAAAAGAGACTTTACAGGCATTTAAATTAAAGGTATTATGATCACCAGCAGTGTTGCTCTTGCAGGCTGCTGGACAACACTCACTTTCAACTGCACTACAAATCCCATCATGCACTACACTCACACACCTGACCCCCCATGATTGCGAACTGATACAGCTGATGCTGTTCAGGACTAATTACACAGACTATTCATACACCTCTCAAAAACACACACGTTGCTTAGTTGTGTAAACTGTCCAGTGAACATTATGACACGTTTTGCCTTGCCTTGTCTTGTTATGTATTGACCTTTGTTTTGTTTGCTTGTTTTACATTGTTTGCCGCACAGATCAACCACTCGCCTGCTTATTGACCATTCTTTTGGATTTGCCTGTTTGTTACCGTTTGCCCCTTATTGTGACCATTCTCTGTGTTATAAATCCTAAATTAGATCCACAACCTCATTGCCAGCATCCCCTCACATTACAAAAGGGTTCCTACAGTATGCTTTTTCACTTTTTGGATGCATCAGTGAGTGTGCAGAGTATTTTGGACATTAAAAAAGTTAGAAGTTACAAATCTTACAGTCCACTTCAAAGGCAGATATTTAGTTTTGAAACTAAAGAACCCATGTCGGTAAATCGACCAAAATCCCGCAGTTGTTGCTAGAAGGGATACAGCTGGGGCCGAAAGTTAACGAGAATTATTTATACTATTTATTAAATTACCCATTAATCCCATTTTATTAGTGTCTACTACCCCAATCCAAAACATAATGGGCCCTATCATACACCTGGCACAATAGGGCGCAATGTTTGGCTAGGTTTGTTGCTATTTTCAGACCAGTGCAACCCTAATTTTCTTGTTTTGTGCCAAGTTGTTTAAATAGCAATTCCATTTGCACCACTTTGTGGACTCATGGGTGTGCTGGTCTATAAAGAAGGTGTATTAAGGTAAATTGTTGGCGCCAGAGGTGGAAAGAGTATTAAAATATTAAACTCAAGTAAAAGTACTGTTACTTTCAAAAAAATGTACTTAAGTAAAAGTTACAGGTCGATTAATCTACTCAAGTAAAAGTTAACTTATTAACAATGTACTCATGAGTAAAGAGTAACTATTTCTCAAAAGGAACAATAGGATATAAATCTACAATTAATTGTTTTACTTGAATAAACAACCTAAAACATTAAAGACCAATAACAAAAAAAATTAATTATTTAAAATATTTGAGAGATTATCCTATTCAACAATTTAAACAAATTATTATCTAATCCTGATGCTAACGAACATGAGCAATGTTACAAACACAGTTGGGCAAGTTACTTCCAAATTGTAATACATTATGTATTACTAGTTACTGTATTTTTTTTTTTTTTTCTTTGTAATGAGTTCTTCATGTTAGGGACTTTTTTTTTTTTTTTTTACAAATTATTCATGACAATTTACATTTGTATAATGTTATTAATATTAATATTTATTAAATGTATATTTACATTTGCTTTATTAAAAACAAGTTTAGATTTGTTCACCTGTCTGGTTTTGGAAATGTCTGCATCACCATATGGGGCATAAGAACAGGACGTGTGTAATGTAATGTAATGTGTATTTATATAGCGCATTTATTGTGTATGGCCATACACAAGTGTTTGGGTATAACTTAAGTTTTTTGACCACACTTTGTTATTTTTGTTCATTTATCTGTTTGCTGGAAACTAGAACTGAATTTAGAAATAGTTTTGAAAAAAATCTTTGCGCTTAACAAACTAAATTAAATATGTAGGCTAATGGATGTCTTCAGTGGAGTGCGTACAACAGCGTTTCCACATCCTCGAAAGTAAAGGAGTAAAAAGTAAAAGTAAAGTAAAGAGGCCGAATGGAGAAGGCTCATTCTTTATCCTCGCTGCAGATGGTCTGTTTAACTGTTTTCTCACTAGTAAAGCATTCAGTTTTTCCACTTACAAAGTCCGCCATGTAAATAGCTAATGGTGCAGCGCAACTGACTCTTAAAGGGAATGGGAGATGAGACTCTGATTGATTTAATGCACATTATGCACAAACACACCCATAACTGATTAAGTGTATAAGCACAGCCCTGTTAGACCATGCGCCACAGTGCAAAGCATATTTTCTGCCCTTAAAATAGCAAAAGTGATTGGGACAAGCCCTTAATGCTTTTGCACCATATGCTTTAGACTTTGTGCCAAGATCGTTAAAATAGAGCCCTATATCACTGCAGCCTGGAGACCACTAAGTGGAAGAGATTACACCACAAGTAGGCTGGGTTTAGGGTGTAGTAGACATTGATAAAACACAACACTGTGAGGCTGAATTTAGGTTAAGGGTAGGTGTAGACATTCGTAAAATACAATAGGTTGGACTTTGTCTCATATACAAGACATTACATTAATGAAAACTCCAAGATGCTCCTACAGCCACTTGGAGCTCAAGTCCCACCCACTTGAAACTGACCAGCCCATTTTAAGCTGGCTCTGACCTCTGTTTATGCCCTTCTCAGACAGACTGTCCTCCAATGAGAGATGTGTGTGAAACAAGAATTAGAATTTGCACAGTGGAATGTTAGATATGAAGAGTTTCTGCCTGTGGGGGTCATTTGAAAAGAAGTTCTCAGATAGGGGCACACCTTTAGTAATGGGTCAAAAGACACCTGGAGTTATCTCTATGGGGAGGAGACTATTGTACCAGACACAGTGAGGAATTTTAATTGATATAAAAGATGATGAATAAATCATGTGCATTGAGCATTCTTTAATTGGCTCTTCTTTGTGAGCTGAGCATAGAGGAGAATAAGTGAAGGTAAAGGAGTGTGGGAAAAAGAACAAATATAATTAAAGAACTGTAAGCTTTCCCAGTTCCACTCAGCTGGGCATGTGGAGGCAAGTGTCTGTCTTCATACACTGTGCTTGTATTGTCCATGTGTAGAGACATAAAAGTACTGTATCTGAAGTATCTCAAAATTACAGCAGCACACTACAAAAAAATAATTTTCTTATTTAGAGTTTATCTTGTTTGTAGTCTAAATATCTTAAAAAAAAAAAAAAAAAAAAACTTAATTTAAGCTGACATTTTCTAGACAATTAAAAATACTGTCTTTATTCATTCATTTTCCTTCGGCTAAGTCCCTTATTTATCAGGGGTCACCAAAGCGGACCAAACATACTCTTGCATTCACACACACACTCATACATTAAGGCCAATTTTGTTTACCCAATTAATCCATAGCACATGTCTTTGGCCTGTGGGAGAAACTGGAGGACGCGGACCAGTGACCTTGTTGCTGTGAGGCAACAGTGCTAACCACTGGGCCACCGTACTGCCCAAAATGATATTTTTGTTTTTTAGTAATTGACTGAATTTTTTTTCCTTGAGCTAAATCATCTTAGAAATATGTGCACTCTTTTATATTAGATTTTTGGTAACATAATTAGACACCACACAATTAGATTAACAAAATTCTATAATAAAATCAAATCCATTGATAATTGCTTTTGTGATTCATCATTGGAATAGACCACTAAAGTAATAAAACCCAATTCTTGTGCATATAAAATCTGCATGATTAAATTACTAGGTTACATCTTTTTCTTAGATTTTTTTGCAGATTGCAACCAATATATCTAGTATTTTCAAAATGCAAAACTGATTTTATTTTAATATGTTTGCATAAAGTCTGCAATTTTCGCTTATGAAGTCATACACTGCAAAAAATGCTTTTCTTACTTAGATTTTTTGTCTTGTTTCTAGTCCAAATATCTAAAAACTCTTAAATCAAGAAGAATTTTTTAGACATGCAAAACATACTGCCTTGTTTTAAGATATAATATTCCAAAATTAGGTGAGTTTTCCCTTAAAACAAGCAAAATAATCTGCCAATGGGGTAAGCAAAATAATCTTATGTCAAAAGGAAAAACAAGATTAATTTGCTTACCCCATTGGCAGATTATTTTGCTTGTTTCAAGGAAAAACTCCCTTAATATTGGGATATTATTTCTGAAAACAAGACAATATATTTTGCTTGCCTAGAAAATGTTTCTTGATATAAGAAATTTTAGATACTTGGACTAGAAACAAGACAACAAATCTAAGTAAGAAAAGCATTTTTTTGCAGTGTAAGCAGTAGTAACACTTTGGTTGGTAGACACATGGGCTACCTAAAATAGTCTATTTAATAATCTATTCTACTACCCCGATGCACTGGTTGGTAATTTAACAAGTTAGGGAAAAACTCCTTTAATACTGACTAAAAACAAAACAAAAAAATAGTTGGAAAATGTTTCTTGACTTTTAGATATTTGGACTAGAAACAAGACAAATACTCTAAACAGCCAACGTCTTAATAGGTAACTATTAATAGAGAGAATAGGTCCATAGTTTTACAGTTGAAGTGTTTGCTGTAAAAACTCATCAGACAGTTTTGTCATACTTTAATAATTTGCTACTGATTAACCAATAGAAACAAAGCTGAACCGGTTGACCAATAAGACTGATCTCATTCATACTTACCTCACACAGGCTCAAATGTGGTTTGTTGACATCCAGCATGAGTAGATTTCCCAACAGTGGCAACGGTTTTGGCCCTGGAGGTTCATTTTCGTCACTTTGAGATCTTAAGAACAGGAGATAAGCAACCAGGAGCAGCAGCAAAAAGCAGATTAATGTTCCTGTGCTGGAAACATGAAGAAGTGCGTCCAGGAACGCCATGTTCACTCAACTATACCCTAAAAAACTGGCTCAGACCTAAACAGTAACACATACCGAGCAGGAGTGGCTGCATTCCATTCTGGAGGTGGAGATTATGAAAACAAACCAGGCCACAGTCCACTGTTGTTGTAGATGGAGATTAGATAACAGTATTTACACAACTTTTTACATGTATGGTACTAGACACTTGAAAATATGCTTTTAAAGTATTTGCCATTTTATTGTATTAAAATATATTTTATTGTTCAAAGAACAGTCCTGGGGATTGCACTAATCATGCACTGATTATTCTTTGGTTCAGCCCGTAAAAATAAAAATAAAAAAAAACAATAATTTATTCAGCAAAGAATTTTTAATAGCCAGGAAACACTTTCAATAAGGTTCCATTAGCTAATATTAATTAATCTATTAACTAATATGAACAAACAGTGAACCATATCTTTATTGCAGTATTTATACACCTTTAGTCAATGGAAACGAAGTTGTACATTTGTAATGTTAACCCAAAGTGCATTAACGTTAACAAGCATGCATTAGCATTTTAATAAGGTATCTGTAAATGTTAATCTAAACTTCATTCAATAAATTACAATTAAATACATTTATTAGCAATAACTTATAATGCTTTATTGTAAAGTGACTTAAAATGACAAGTGAAAAGATTAATTTCTTGGAAGTGAATTCTTTGTCAGAAGTTAATTATCTCGTTGTCATTTACACATAAATGTAACTGAATAGATGTGTACTAATTGAGTAAATGAATCTAAGGCTGTGATATTTCTGTGAAAATGTAAATAATTTTTAAGATACAAAAAAAAAAAATTACAGCACAACATGAAAAAAGAACATTATTCATGCACCTACTGTTCTCATGTACACTTTTAACAAAGTTATTCTCAACATTTAATATATTTAATGAATGAATTAGTTTTTATTTATTCAAGACAAGTTAAAATGCTGGTATTTAAAACAAAAAAATATGGACAATGGACCATTAAACCTTTCATGAGTGTGATTTTTATAAAACTGTGATTTCTACATCACTTCAAAGTCATGTAAATGGATCTATTTTTATCTTTTATCTTTGTTGTAATGCATGTTGCATAGATTTGTATGTAAAGCAGTTTGAGAAAGTAACATTTAAAGGCGCTATGTAAAATACATGTATTGTTATTTTTATTATTATTAACAATAATAAAAATAATGAACTAAGCAAATAAATAAAATGAGTAGGCTTTCCATTAACATATGCATTAAGATTAGACAATATTTGAAAGAAAAGTAAAATTTTATTGTGGTCATCTCCTCAGATACCCTCCATTAAAATGTGGTTGTCTCATGCTATTTAAATGGAGAAACTCACCTATGACACATCAAAAGTCTGAGAATTTTTGGCAGTTATGGACACATTTTGGACATTACATTAATAATTTTTCCTGATTTTCTATTCTGTGGTGCATATTTAGCTCCTAGCCTGACTGTATTATCCTGTTTACTTGTTTGTACCCACATTTCAACCTACACATACAAATATTATTATCACAAGTGCTCACATTTACATTTGCAAGCTCTCCAGTTTCGCTACTGATTTACCTTCATATCATTTCCTACTGTATAGCTGAGACTGTATTTGTGCATGTTAATGTGTTAAAATAACCGATGATTAATAATTAAAAAAAGATTACACAATATTTGAAAATTTGAAAAACTTAATTACTCATAAAATCTCCTTTAAAATTGTCTAAATTAAATGCTTAGCAATGCTTATTACTAACCAAAAATTGAGCTTTTGATGCATGTACATAAGACATTTTCAGAGAACATGGATTATGATCTTTACTTAATATTCAAATGATTTAATGCATTTTAAAAAATCTAAGATTTTGACCCTTACAATATTTATTTATTTTCTAATTGCCAAAAATATACCCCTTTAACATAACACTGAATGTGTGTTTCAGGGTCACAAAATGTTTCTATTTTGGTTGACAGATTTCAAAAGCGTTTGATTGCACACAGTTTGTGTGGAGACGGATTCAGAGTCACTCCGACCGTTCCTTTGAGATCCAGCTCATCTTCAGACACTCCAGGTGGAGTTGTGAAGCGGTAGCTCTGAAGGAGAGACGCGAAGAACAGGAAGAGCTCCATCCTGGCCAAACTCTCTCCCAGACAAACCCTGCGCCCTGACCAAACAGCAAATATATTTTATTCCAATTCACATGCTCGTTTCTTCAAAACTGTGTGTTTATATTGATCATACCTGCAGAAAAGGGCATGAAAGCATCTCTCTTGACGAACTGGCCCTTCTCATCAAGGAAGTGTTCTGGGTAAAAGCTGTTTGGTTTCTCCCATTCACTTTCATCCTTCAGAACAGACGTCAGCAGAGGAATAACAGTGGTCCCCTATAGAACAAATAAAAAGACTAAATTAAAATGTGGACTTCAATATATTTTACTTATTTTAATACACATTCTTCTGATAGACCTTCTTGATGAAGTATCCATTGAAGGTAACATCACAGCTGGTCACATGAGGGAGATTCATGGGAACTATGTTGGCCAGTCTCTGAATTTCATGAATGACAGCATCTGTATATGGTAATTTCTTCCTGTCTTCCACCACCGGCTGACGTCCACCAATCACTCTGTCAATCTCCTCTTGAACTCGATCTGCCCACAAATGCAACATATTTGGTGCTTTGACCTACAATGTATTCAACACTGAAGGAAAATTCTTCATATGACTATTTTTACCTTGTATTTGAGGGTATTTGGCCATGAGCATCAGACCCCAGCGCAGAGTTGTTCCTGTAGTATCAGTACCAGCAGCAAACAGATTTCCCACCGTCATGAGAAGATTCTCTGCATGAAAGTATGAGTCCTTCTTGCCTAATTGCTAATAAATAGAAATCCACACATCATTGAAGCATTTTTTAAAAAGTTAATGTAAACTATTTTTGTTGGTTATAATAAATTTAATATGCTTAGGCAAATGTATAATGCTTGTAAAAAACAACAACAACAGCACCATTGTGTCAAATCAACCAAATTTAAAATTTACATCCAAAATATATCACAGGTTTTTTGACCACAGATAACATGTTATATTTTACCCCTAGCTCCTGGAGCATCCTAAACAGCAAATGCATCATGGCACGATGCAACTGACTCTTAAAGGTAATGAGAGATGAGTCTCTGATTGGTTTAATGCACGTTATGCTCAAAACACACCCATAACTCATTAAAGAGCCCATATTATGGGTTTTTGAAAATTCCCCTCCATGTAGTGTGTAACACAGCTCTAAGTGAAGTGAAGTATCCAGCTAAGGCTTAAATCTGTAAGTGTACAGTATTTAAAACGGTTGATTCATCTATAAAAGAGTCGACTCATAGTGCTTCAAACGAGTCGCCTTGATACCGAGTCATTAGGTGTTTCGCCATGACGTACGAACAAATCAAGTTATTCACGTGCACGCGCAAACCCGGGAGATTTCAAACCTGAGGCCCCGCCCTCTGACGCAGAAACCCAGACACACACACACCCACAAACACACGCACACAAACATGCCGGTCGACTGAAGTCACACTGCAGATGGATATTATTGAGTCTCTACCCAAAGATGAAACCTCAGCATCATAACCAAGCAGTTGGAAACTACTGGAAACTTCTGCAAACTACATGCTACAAAGAATACTTCATCGGGTTTGTTAAAGGAAGGATCAGTAAAGAGTAACTTACTGCTGGACGTCAGGATGGGTTCCTTCCTCCATTTCTCAAGTGTAAGTACGTGCGATTAAAGTTGTTGCCTCGTTGACTCTAGCTTGCAAATGTATTTAGTTGTGACTTGTTACTTGTAACCGAGTGTACTGTATCAGGTTAACTGGCTATATTCTCTTATCGCGTGCAAAGTCACGTTTAAAACGCGACGCGTGCTGCTTTGTTTACGGAGCTCCATGGACGAGGGTAGTGTGTGTGTGCGCGTGCGCTGTCGTCCGGAGGTATATGTGTGTGTTTGTGTGTGTGTGCGCGCGTTGTCGTCCGGAGGTGTGTGTGTGTGTTTTTGTGTGTGTGTTCGCGCGCGCGCGCGCGCGCAAGGACGAGGGCAATGTGTGTGTGTGTGTGTGTGTGTGTGTGTGTGTGTGTGTGTGTGTGTGTGTGTGTTTGTGTGTGTGTGTGTGTGTGTGTGTGTGTGTGTGTGTGTGTGTGTGTGTGTGTGTGTGTGTGTCTGTGTCTGTGTCTGTGAAAAGAGCAGAGTGAGACAAGCTATGTGATCTCCTCGACAGTTTTTGGAGTTTTTGCTCAATAAAATAGATAGACGTCTGTATTTTCAAGTCAATAGTCTGTATTTACATTGACCCACTGGCAGCTAAAATCCACGCCTACACTATCAAGCGTGTATGAACTGTGATTACTTTATATTGCTGATTAGCTGTTTGGCATTTCACTCTGACTGAAGGCAGTCGACCAATCGCAACAGACTGTCATTGGTCCAATCAGCGCAGATTAGCTTCGTGCTAAGGAGGGGTTTGGGAACAAATGAATCACTGGACGATTCATACAGGAGTCGCTGGGATAATTAGGTAAAAATAAATGCAGATTATAAGACCATGAAAGTGTTTTTTGACCTTGCATGCATATTAGACTGTTGTTGGAGACCCTTACAACCAAGATATGACCCTATTTCATGTATAATATGGGCTCTTTAAGAGAATAAGCACAACCCTGTTAGACCATGCGCCGGGGCACAGACCATATTTTTCCATCCTTAAAAAAGCAAAAGTGGATTCGAACACAGCCTTAATGCTTTTGCGACATGTGCTTTAGACTTTGTGCCTAGATCGTTAAAATAGAGCCCTTAGTTTACCGTTTTTTGGTTTTACACCTTTTTTTCTTCTGTTGAACATAAAAGAAGAAATTTAGAAAAATGCTGGTTACTGGAACCCATCGACTTCCATTGAAGGATAAAAAAATACTGTGGAAGTAATCGATGCCATAAACGAGAATATTTCAAAATGTCTTCTTATCTGTTCAGCAGAACTTTCTCCTGTATTTCAACGCAACATAGTTTTTCTGTACCTCATCACTCTGTTTGCGGATGAGAAAAGAGTCGACAAAGCCTCTGCGGTCGTGTATATTCAGAGTCTCCTGCAGGCCAGTGATCAACTTCATAAATTCTGCTCTGTTTTTTAACATGTTTCTCACGACAGTCCTTTTGCTGTTGAGGAATAGACCCAGCCATGGAAAGATATTGTAAAGCTGAAATACATACAGAGGAAGATATGCATCAATACGTTAATGTCATTTGCAAACTAAATTTCTCAAAAATCATATTTCCATACCATCATTGAAACTGATCCGCTAACTCGAATATTTTCATTTGCTCTATCAACCATTTCTGTGAATCGAGGGTCTGTGTATTCAAATCTGCTGCCGTACACAATAGACGAGATGATGTTTGACACAGCGTAGTTCACAGGCTGTGTTGTGTCAAAGGGTTTCCCTGTTAATAAAAACAGCAACAAACGTCTCTCATTGGATCTTATAAACTAAGAGGATGAGTGAAGATGTCCATTTATGTGTCTTGCTCATCTCGTACCTTCAAACTTATCAAATTCTCCTTTGAGATGATGAATTTCTTCAATGATTTTCTCTTCGCTCCCTCTTTTGCCCATCCCAAAGTCTCGCAGGTTGCTAATAGCGAAGCGTCGCATCTCTTTCCAGCTTTCTCCATTAGAAAAGAGGATCCCTAACCAATAAAATCAGTCAAATACAACAAACATCTTTGATACTATTTAAAAATGTTCTTAACGTAATAATGGGACTGCAATAAACTCCAATGGCAAAGGTGCAACCATAAAAAAATGCAACAGTTGGATCAATGGGCCTCTATTACACTTGAATGATAAAAAACAAAGCACTGGGTTATTCTTACCATGATCATTAGCAAGTATCCTGAAAATAGGTGTAATATCTCGCTCGCCAAACTCATCTGCATAATTCACAAGAGCTTCTTTAACAGTTTTGTGTCCAATAAGTACGACGACTTTTTTGGGACCCAAAAACACTTGGTACACATTCCCATAGGTTTTGGACAGCTGGAGGACAAAAAAAAAATAAATAAATAAAAAGCATTTACAAAAAAAGATTTATATGATGTTTTTGAATCATATAGTAAAGTGTTCTACACTGTACAGTATTTACAACCCTTACCAAATGCTACAGGATAGTAATATTACCTATAATAGTAAACAATAGTTTACTGATTAACTTTTTATAAATACTGTACTGCAGTGTACTTCAGTTTTTACTAGAGTACACTGTGATGTATTGTAGTTTATACAACAGTTCTGTCTGGTTCTCGAATCTGATTGGCTGATAGCCGCGATATATTTAAGTAATATCTGTACAGCCTTTTTACCCTTTGTATATTACTCCGCCCACATACAGCCAGCAACAAGCAGACACTACAGTTTGACAAATATTGCAGCTGTTAGACAACAAAATATTCTTTTGAGGCTTTTTTTAGACGAGAATGTAGTTGTTTAGATTACAACTATGCAGTTTATTTATAAGGACAGTGCCCCTTTTTTAAAATATTATAATTTCTGAGAGACAGGTTGTCGGCCATTAGCCCCTTTTTTTTTTTTTTTTTTTGAGAATATTCGTTTATTTATTTTATTTATTTATTTATTTGTGCAGTTTTAGAACACAGAACAATCAAGGGCAATAACAACATTATATTGAAGAAAAAAAATAAAAAAATACAATTATTAAAAAAAAAATTTTAAGGCTTTAAATTAATTAAGTATTTTTGTTTGTTTGTTTCTTTTATCGTGCATAGGTTATGACCTATTTCTATTTTAAAGTGAGTAAAATTAGTTTTTTTCCCTGCCCATTAACATTTATGAATGAAAAATGTGATGTAAATGGAAATCGGCATACTGTGAGCCTCAGACACCACTGTTTACTCGTTTTCATGTAAATTTCACAAGCGTGAAACCCCAGTGGACAACAGGCCAATCAGATGACAAAACAAACTATGGCGAGACTCACGTGCCATGCCCTCCTCATTTGCATGTATGCCTACTTTAGGTCATTTATCCGGAAATGACAAAAAACATGAAGAGCGCACCAACTCATATGCAGCTCTGAGAGAATAAAAAAGCTCTGAAATAATTAATATGCACACCTCAGGCTGCATTTGATAAGCCAAACGTTTTCTAGTGATAGAAAACTGATCATTTTCCTACCTTAGTTATTTTAAGACTATATTTCACTTACTATGTATGTGGGACTTTTGTTTTACAAATGCAAGCCCCAAATTGTTTACTATATGTTATGAAATGTTTGTGGCTGGAAGTTAATACTTTATATATTTATAAAATATATTCATATTATTTATCATATTTCCCATTAATGGTATTTTATTAACATCTACCCCACTCCAACCCTAAACCCAGCCATCACAGTAACGTAAAAGCAGTAGTTGAACCCAGTATTACTTATGTTATCTATTAAATTACCCAAACAATTGTATCTTTATATAATGAGGAAATTTAAAAAATAATAATAATAAAATAAAACATCTTTTTCTTTGAATTCCAATGCAATATTTGTATTCTTCTTAACGAAAAAGAAAAGATCACACCAAAACAACTGTGTATAAATACAATCATAAAGTAAATGAACAATACTCTCTTCTTTATTGTTACAAACAGCAAATTTTAAATCAACATCTTTACCAATTTTTTTCAATAACCTGTTTTATAGGATAAATACGATGAACAATTTTAAATGATACCGCTCTAATTTTATTTGTAATACAAAAACATCTGGAAATCTTAAAAGTGTCGTTCCAGTTAACATCTTAAAATTGTGATCTCCAATAACCAATGGCTGAAGGAACATTGACAATCTGACAATCTTACTTTTTTTTTTATTTATACCTTCCAATTTAAAAACTAAAATCTAAATTTGTATTTTGAACTAGATCATTTTCTAACAATTTCTTAAGCTCTGAGGGAAAACCATTAACAACCATCATATACTCTTTGACAGGTATATAAAGAGAACATTTTTCTAGAAACTCTAAATAGGTAAGCACATGACCATTACTATTTAAAAGTTGAAGAAACCAGCAAAATATCATTTCTAAACCAATTAATGTAAAATAAGATATTTATTTCAGTGTGTAATATATCTATTATTCTAAATTAAACATTTGTGAGAGGGAAAGTTTGATTTTGTATGTATTCATCCATGATAGCAATGCCTGCATTAGCCTGTCTTTAAGCGAAGACGGGTGATGATGTTCATCCACAAGATGTTGACAGAGACGCATAATAAGCCCTATGAAAAACCAGCGTAATTTCAAGCTACAGCTGATCAAAGCATTATTAAATAGGTAAATTACTCTCTAAGTTGATCTCTCTCTCTTGTATGTTGTAGTGCTGTATTTATACCATAGTAGTATTGTGATCTCCCGATTACAACAGAGAAATACTGGGAGATATCTCTGTAACTTAGAATGATGGCTTTTCATGCAGTAAGGCCCTAAAATAAAATAAAAATGTGAGCAAAATCACCAATTTTGTCATTAGTTTAGACATTACGCTAGAGATTCATTCAAATACTAGCTTTAAAATGACGTTGGTGAACGGCTTCTGCTCTTCTGACGTCACCTGGAGATGTGAATGAATAGTAGAAGAAAGTAGTTCCTTATACAGGGTTTTTGAGACTCCCCATGTTTGATTTGTTTTTTTATATACACGATTATGCAGTCGAACTGTTGTATAAGCGCAATATCACACTCGTAGCAGTTTCGATGTGGCTATATATGCTCACTGGTGCCCTGCGGCCTCGTGCCAAGCACGCCTCCCACCAGTGCTGATATACAGCCACATCGCACTGCTACGAGTGTGATATTGCTCATATAATATAATATATCTAATAAAAAACTGCAGTGTTGGGTCAATTGTTTATGTTAACAAATATGTTACCATAGCAACTATAAAACTAATACAACAAAATAAATCAATTATATAAATGAAACATTAAATAAAGTATATAAATGTTTGGATCTCACCTCACAAAGGGAGTCAAAAGGTCTTGAAAGGTCAAGGGTCAGCAGGTTCCCCAGCAAAGGTATCGGTTTGGGTCCTGGTGGATCTTTCCTCTTTTTCTGAAATTCAGAGTCTCGAGAGAGCCGATAGAAAACCAGTAACAATAGCAAAGTGCCCAGTAATGTGCCTGCACTCGAAAAATGTAGCAAAGATTCAACAACCATTTTACAATATCAGAGAGCTCCACAAACTCTCTGAAGCATCCAAAGCTTCATAATACACATGTAGGAGAAACCTTTAGTAACTCCATGGAGAATTGATCACTCAAAACAAGGTAACCATGAGAGTACTGTGCTGGTGTGATTGCATCAGTATCTACACAGAGTACACACTTCAATTAAAGGTGCAGTAGGTGATCTAACCGGTTAGCATAATATCCTTGAAACACAGTCCCTCCCCTGCCATCCAAAACCACGCTTCCTGAAATCATGAACACGCACATTAAAGATGACAGAGATCCACTAGACCATGTCATTCGCCAGATAGAAAACTTTATAGTGCTTTACCCAGCTAGCAAAATTCATGTGGCTCATATCCGGCCCACATACCGAATGGAATGATGGCACTTGGGCCGTCCGCTCCTGATTGCCAGATCTGGGCAACAGTTAAGCCATAGCAATATCACATATCAGCCAGAATTCAACCAAATGAACCAGAACTGACCCTATTCTAGGCCACAGTTTGCTTTTATTCCGGCCCAGATCTAGCCCACACCAGACACTCACATCTGGACCACATACTGAATGTAATGATGGCTCTAGGGCGGTCCGCTTCTGTTTGTCAAATCTGGGACACAAATAAATAAAAGCAATACCACGTATTAGCCAGAAACCAACCAAATGAACCAGAACTGACTCTATTTCGGGCCACAGTTTGCTTTTATTCTGGCCCAGATCTGGCCTATTACTTCTAATAATGGATTAAACATTGGTAAGCATAAGTGAACTATATTATTTCATCTCAGGTTGTGCCTCACTTCATTTTGTTTGCAATGATGAACAAACTTTTCAAGCAAAGTTCTTAAAAGTTACAGCAGCTCAAAAGAAAATTTATATTAAGAGGTTCAGAGCTATGAGCCCAACTAAAGCAAACACTTTTCTCCATGATGGTGACTTTAGTCTATGTGGTCCACATACGTTTTAAGATAACTGGGTCACATTTGCCATATCTCATCTGGGCCGCTTTAAGTTTACAGCCTCATTAGCCTGAGCTAACTGTGCCCAATATTTGCCAAACATGGCCCGTATTTGTTTTAGGATAACTGGGCCACATTTGCCATATCTTCTCTGGGCCACTATAGGCTCAAATCCACATTAGCCATAGCTTACTGTGCTGAATATTTGCCAAAAGTGGCCCACATATATTTTAAAAGAACTGGGCCACATTTGCCATATTTTCTCTGGATCACATTAGGCTCACAGCCGCAACAGCCAGAGCTTACTGTGCCAAATATTTGCCAAAAGTGGCCCACATATGTTTTAAGATAACTGGGCCACATTTGCACCTACACGTGTGAGCCACTTTAGGTTTAGACCCAGATTACCCTTAAATAACTATGCCACATTTTTGCCAATTGTGGCTCACATTGTCACATCCGTCAGTGACCACCTGAGGGCGCTGTAGTGCACTAGGACTTGTAGGCATTACAGCGTACCAGGAAAAGAACTACATTCTCATACATACCATGTGGATACAACGGAACACCTACACTGACCTGTCATCACATCTGTTTTGTGTTACCAATGATTATCTGGACTATTTATACAACCATTTCACCTCTGTCTTGCATCGCGTCGTTTGTACTCCTTGTCCGAGTATCGAGTAAGTCCAAGATTCCGAGTTTGTTATTCTGATCCTGTTCTTGTATTTTGCATTAGTCTAGTTCGCGTGTCATTTGTCTAGTCTGTTTTCTAATTAGGTTTAGTTGTTTGAGTTTGTTATTCCTGAGCCTCGTCTCTGATTTAGTTTCTGGTTTTGTCGTTTATTTGTTACTTTGTATTCTTATCACCTTGTTGGTTGCACTGTAAATAAATAATCTGCACTTGGATCCGCACCTTTTTGTTTCTTGTTTTGATCACGCTAAAACGTGACACACATTTGTCCTCTGTCATTTGGGCCAAATTTATCATTTTTTACACGGGTCACATTGGGCTCACATGCAAATTACATTTTGCCATAAGGCCCAATGGCCCATATATGAATTAAAATCTTTGGCCCTCTTTGCCATTGTACAGATGGGCCACTTCAGGCTCACATTCATTTTGTCTGGGCCAAAGGAATACCACCAGTGCCACATAACTGTCTAAAGTGGCTCACATTCGTAGGCTATCTAAGTATAAAACTACAATTCTGAACGAAAAGCTGTTATATCTAAAACATTTTCAGTTATGTAGCAAACAAAACCTGCCATAATGTGCAATATTTCATGCATGCAAGCATCGCTGGTCTCACTCTCTCACACACTTTGGCCTAAAGCGACCACTGTATACTGTAATTTTACACTTCTTACTAAGCCATACATGCATGCTATTTCAGACTGAATATTCAAAGCAACATGGTAAACAGTGTAGGAAGCGCGTTACATGTTGTCATCGTACAATAATTAACCAATGTGAATATAAAACCAACCCCATCTCTGTAAAGCAGGCTAGGCAGAATAGCGCTGTTTACTGATGTTTTGTTGTCACATCAATCTTTCGCCGGAAAATTTCAGTGGCTGAACAACACTTCTGTGCATATAACCCATTCATAACAACAACCTCTACATCAGCTTAGCGTGACTAAAACTGAACATCACCTGTCTAAAAGAAATACTTCAGCAATGAAGGAGAGGGGGTTTGGGGTGTGGTGGGCGTTATAGTTTATAGTTTGGCCTAAATTGACTCATGTAACGTTAGCTTAATTCATCATTGAATATGAGCAGCCATTTTCAAGAAGCTGCATTTAAAGACACCATCACATTAGAAACATTTAGTGGAGAAAAATGTCATTTGCCAATAATTTAGCAAAGTTTGGACAACTGTTTGCTGAAATTACTTAAGCAGCATTATTTCTGCTCAGCATAGCACAATTGTGTGCTTCAACTCAATTCCTAAATTCTACAATGTATTCAATGTTGAAATGCACTTCTTCATATAACTGTTTTTGTCTTGGGTTTGACTGCAAATCATCAGAGTAATTCCTTGGGTTTCATCATAAGATTCTCCTCACGAAAGTATACGATCCTTCTTACCAGATATCTGTCAAACGCAATGCTAAAAACGCATATTTGTTTCCATTACCAATTTAATACGGTAAAATGTGTTTCAGGTCCTGGTGTCTGTGTGCCCTTTTTTTGACCTATGGAGCCAATAAAAGCAAAAAAAAAAAAAAAAAAAAAACACAACTGCAAAGTGTCCAACTTTGGCCAGTTTTTTTTTTTTTTTTTCAGTTTTTTTTTTTTTTTTTTTTCGGAGCTTCTCACTTTTAAACTTATAGGTAATGAATGGTGGAGGGAGCTTTTCTGAAACAAAATAAATATTTTAAAAGATCCATGGGAATAATGATGTGCTTACAAAAGCATGTACTGCATGTATGTGACACCCTGCAGTGAATCGTTAGGCTAAAACATGACAGGTTTGTTATTTAAACAGTACAGACATATACAATTGCGTGATTTAAAGTTGCCTTTTGGTTTATATATGCACTAAATATTATAATGTTATCTATTTGTAAAAATAGACAGTAAAAAAAACAAGCTGGTCTAAACTGATGTACAATATAATTACCACTATTTAACAAGAGCCCATTTAAAACTAAAATGAAAATAAATATGATTTAATCATGCAATGTAATTAATTATTGACAACAAAATGTAAATATTTACATTCATTCATTCATTCATTTTCCTTTGGCTTAGTCACTTATTTTTCAGGGGTCGCCACAGCCGAATGAACTGCCAAATTTTCCAGAATACGTTTTACACAGTAGATGCTCATCCAGCTGCAACCCAGGACACATCCACATTTACACACTTATACACTATGACCAATTTAGTTTATTCAATTCACCTACAGTATACCGCATGCCTTTGGACTGTTAGGGAAATCAGAGCAGCCGGAGGAAACCAACGGGAACACGGGCAGAACATTCAAACTCCACACAGATATGCCAACACGGTGGTATATACAGAAGCATGCAGAAGGACTTTTAATTTGTCAGTAATCTGGGTCAAACGCTTCCAGTGAACTGTACGCCGTTATAAAATTGGCACGTGTGCTTTCTTAACAAAAATCAACGATCTTCACTGCCTAAATGATATACGCTCTAAAGTGGGTCTCCGAATGTACAATAAACACTGCATTAAATTACATTTTTCAGCACCATGTCTTTAAAGCATTTAAATTTATTTTACTTCAGTTTTTCTAATGGCATTTCTGTGCTCGCCTGCTGATCAGCGTGGCTTTTTATCTCGCTTGAGGCTTCAACAACTAAATGAATGCTGAAGTCTATTTAACTGATTGTATCGTAATTATCTTACAAAATCGATGCTGTAAAAGCAAGTGTATGAACTTGAAAAAGTCACATTAACCGTTCACCGGAAGTATATCGGTATAGGAAGAAACACTAGCTCTGCATGTATCCTACTAATCCAGCCAGGACTTGAACCGGCAATCTTTTTGCTGTGAGGTGACAGTGCTAACCAATTAGCCACTGTGTCGCCTAAATATTTACAAATAATTCATAAAAAAATGATAAACTTAATATAACAACGGATGTGAAAATGAAAGCACAAATAAATGCTGGAATTGCTCAATCATTTTTAGTTGGTTTACGAAGGTTTCACGCGTCTTCTAACAAGTGTTATGGATCACATACTGTATGAATATTTTTCGATAGCTTTTATTAGCTTCAACCTGTTAAATTGACTGCCGAGTTCTACAGCTTTTTACACACTTTGCTTTCGCTCTTCCATTGCTGGTCACCTTCAGATTTCCTACTTATGCATTTAGCAGAAGCATTTATATAAAGCAACCTAAAATATAAAAATATCCAGAATATTAAAAATATATATAATATCAATATCAATAATATCACCTTTAATATCAAGGTTTATTTTTGCTACTGAAACTTCATGACTTTTTCAAGACTTTTCTAGAACTTTCAAGCATATTTTTATGATGTAATGTTTCATGTAATATCTACATACATGGTAAATAATAAGAAAAATGATGACGTTCAAATTTATTACAGCATATCACAGAACACGCAACAAACCATTTTGTTTAAATTTAACATTATTAATATTGTTAAGATTTTGATCATGCTTACACAGCACTAACAATGTGAGAGCAAGTTTTTGGGACAGAAAATAAGTAAAGACAACTAACCTATAGTCAAGTTAGAGCTGCACGATATATCATTTCAGCATCGATATCGCAATCCGCAAGTCACATCGCAGGATAAGCAATGGTGGGATTATAATCATAATGGAGTAAAAGTTTATCATCTGCATGCATTTTTAAAGAGACACCCTTCACTTGTTTCAAAAATGTTGAGTTTTCTTTTTCTTTTTTTTTAATGAACACATAAAAAATACAAAAAGAATTGACACAAGTGAAGTGTGAGTAAATAGTCAGTATATTTTAATCTTTGAGTAAACTGTCCCTTTAAGGCCTGTGACTGTGTGAACATTTCATTATTTCAAATTTTAAAACATCCGGCCACAAGAAATGTTTTGTAACTTTAATAAAGATTAAATAACACACAATGAAGACTATGCAGTGGTGATTATTCAATATCTGTACCTGAATAGTGAATACCCGAAAACTAGAATTCACTTTTATCTTCACTATATTTTATTTACCCATGCTTGTGATTTATTTGTTATATATTGTTAGAGAACCACTCCTCTAACTAACACAAAACAAGGAAAACAAAACAAGGAAAACGCGCTGTAATGCTACTTTACAGTGAACAAGACTCAGCAACATGTGTGTGGAAAAGAGGGATTTAAATAGTCCAAATAATCAATGTGTGAGTGTCTTCAGCTGTGAGAGTGCAATCAGTGTGGATTTGGAACCGGTTGTGTGTGAGTGTGTGTGGCATGACTGGGTGTTGTAGTCCCTAACATGGCAGATATGTTGTTCAAGGAGTGTGAATGTTTGTGTGTGAATGTTTACCAGCGACATCTGGTGGTTGTTCGCTGGTGAACATGACAATCGTGCAGCCCTAATTTAAGTATACAGATATTTGTTAAACAAATTGACTTTTTCAAACCTTTGTGGGTTTTTCTGTTTTTCCATGACTTTTCCAGGCTTTCCATGACCGTATAAACCCTGTAATATGCAATGACAAGTTTATAAAATAACAAGGAAACAAGCTATTTATAGGCCTGCAAGTGGAGCTTTGCAGTCTAGTATTGCTTCCAAAATCAAACAATCTGCAACTTTATTTATCGATATGTAAATGTTTCTCAAAATGTTTAGTGCATATTGAAGGATTATACTTAGAGTCTTTTAAAACAAAAGGTTCAGTAATTGGTTCCACCTTTTGCTGATTACAGTACATTTTTTTCAAAAAGTAAAACAAGTGCAAACAGCTCCCAAATCATACTGAAAAGAGCTGTTGTTTTGTTTTTGTATGTTGTTCTAATGGCCACTTATATTTTCTTGGATCAGGAGCGTCTGATTGCACACAGCTTGTGTGGAGATGGGTTCAACGTGATTCCAACAATTCCTTTGAGATCCAGCTCATCTTCAGACACTCCAGGTGGAGTTGTGAAGCGATAGCTCTGAAGGAGAGACGTGAAGAACAGGAAGAGCTCCATCCTGGCCAAACTCTCTCCCAGACAAACCCTGCGCCCTGAGAAAGAGAGAGGCTGTTCAACTGGCTATATTGGTATGGATCATGGATTTAAAACACTAGTTAATAGGATATATTTTCTTCAGCATCCTAAAGGCATCAGCTGTTGGCATTAGTTATGTCCAAGTATCAAACCAAAAGTTTAAAATGACTAAATTTGTATTTAAATTACTGTACATGAGTTAAACGTACCGTACAGAAAATATCTATTTTTCAAGCCCATCAGTTTACTGACATAACCTTGCCAGTTATTACCTCAGTAGCTTGGTGGGAAGGTCCAAACTCTCTCACTGATTTTCTGTCATCGGCAGCAAGTGTGTTGCCAGGTGGTGACAATGGCACAAATTTGCAGTACAGATTTAATGCAACATAGCACTCGTTGGCTTAAAAACAGGGTATCGTTTGGTCGTTCAGCCAGTCAGTCAGATGGACAGTCGCTCCACAGCGGCCTCCAGCGGCTTTTCACGCGAGAACAGCGCAGGCGCGAACGGCGCGCGCTCCTGAGAGGCGCTCGAGACGCGAAAAGGCGCGCACAGCGGCCTCTCGCGGATCCGCGAAAACAAAAACTGCTCGAATACGTACCACCCGGGACGTATTTCGCGGTCTGCAGAAACGTCCGCGGGGCTACGTTTCCACAATGAGCCCGGGTGGCTAAATTTAAGTGAAGCTCCTGATGCCGTGATCAGATTCTTATTGTTATGTTGACAGATTTTTACAGAAAACATACTGTATTGTATACTTTACTTAGCGCAGAGTATTCTTTGCTCTTCAAAAAATTAAGAACACGTAGTTTTCATATTCACATTTCACTGTACCTGCAGAAAAGGGCATGAAAGCATCTCTTCTGACGAACTGGCCCTTCTCATCAAGGAAGTGTTCTGGGTAAAAGCTGTTTGGTTTCTCCCATTCACTTTCATCCTTCAGAACAGACGTCAGCAGAGGAACAACTGTAGTTCCCTAGAATAATGGAGAAATGTTTAAAACCTTGATGTCCTGAACATGATTTGTCTTATCCATGATTTATATGCATTTATTCTTCTGGCTGACCTTCTTGATGAAGTATCCATTGAAGGTAATGTCACTGGTAGTTCTATGTGGAAGACTCAACGGCACAATGTTGGCCAGTCTCTGAATTTCATGAATGACAGCATCTGTATATGGTAATTTCTTCCTGTCTTCCACCACTGGTTGACGTCCACCAATCACTCTGTCAATCTCCTCTTGAACTCGATCTGCACACAAATGCAACACATATTTGGTGCTTTGGTCCTTGTGATTGATATTGGGGAAAAACTCTTTATATAACAGTTTTTACCTTGAATGTGGGGGTATTTAGCCATGAGCATCAGACCCCAGCGCAGAGTTGTTCCTGTGGTGTCAGTACCAGCTATAAATAAATTTGTCACTGTCATCATTAGATTTTCCTCATGAAAGTATGAATCCTTCTTGCCAGATTTCTGTCAAATGCAATCCACAAACCAGTTATATACTCCATCTATTATACTAAATTAATGAGCTAAAATACTCAGTGGCTATCAAGTCAATCAGATCTTTAGTAAATTGCAAACTTAAATTTCTGATTATTTCAGTGAAAGCTACCATTACAAATTTCCATACCTCATCGCTCAGTTTGCGGATGAGAAAGGAGTCAACAAAGCCTCTGGGGTCATTTGGATTCAGAGTCTCCAGAAGAGCAGTGATCAACTTTGTCATCTGGACTCTACTTTGGATAATATTTTCAACAATAATCCTTTTGTTTTTCAGAAATGGACCCAACCAGGGAAATATATCGTAAAGCTAGAAATGCACATTCAGAGACACAAGAAAGAGGAAATGCCAAGTGATAGATATTCTCCAGAAATGATTTTAAAAAACAGCCTACAATATTAGTTGGTTAAACTCACCCACATGGAAATTGATCCGCCAACCCGAACATTTTCATTTGCTCGGTCAACCATTTCTGTGAATTGAGGGTCTGTGTATTCAAATCTGCTTCCGTACACAATAGACGAGATGATGTTTGACACAGCGTAGTTCACAGGCTGAGTTGTGTCAAAGGGCTTCCCTGTCAAGAAAAAAAACACCAAACCGTTTCACACTGGACCTTATAAACCAAGAGCAGATGTTCATCTTTGTCTTGTACCTTCAAACTTATCAAATTCTCCTTTGAGATGATGAATTTCTTCAATGATTTTCTCTTCACTTCCTCTTTTGCCCATCCCAAAGTCCCGCAGGTTGCTGAGAGCGAAGCGTCGCATCTCTTTCCAGTTCTCTCCATTGGAAAAGAGGATTCCTGATCCACACAAAAGCATTCCACTGTGAGTCTCAGTAACAACATCAGTAGAAAAGCATGACTTTGGGCTCTATATTTCGCATGGTCTAACAGGGTTGAGCTTATTCTCTTAATGATTTATAGGTGTGTTTTGAGAATCAACCAATCAGAGTCTCATCTCCCATTCCCTTTAAGAGTCAGTTGTGCCGTGCCATAGCGCATTTGCTATTTACATGGCGGACTTTGTAAGTGTTAAAACTGAACGCTTTACTAGCAAGAAAACAGTTAGAGCATCTACAGCGCGAGACAAGATAAGGCCTCCTCATTTTCTGAGAGGGGCCTGGCTGCAGACCTGGTGCAGTGCAATCTTGGCTGCATCCAACGCTTTTTAATGTTCTCACCTACCCCCACCCCTAACCCTACCCGTCACAGTGACGTCACTCACTCCATTGAGTGCATTGTGTCTGACATTGCATCGCTGAGTGATGCAATCTCAGCTTGCGTCATAAAGGCTGCATCCAGATACTATTGCATTTTCTACTTTCACTTTCACTCTCATGGATAGCGAAACGTGTTGTACGCACAGACATCCATCAACCTTAATTAATTCAGCTTATGAAGCGCAAAGATTGTTTCAAATATATTTCTAAATTCAGCTCTAATATCCAGCAAACAAATAAATGAGCAATAATAATGAAGTGTGTTCAAAAAACTGAGTTATATCCAAATGCACATGCTGTGCCCTTATAGGGTCTAAAACCTGACAGGTAGGCAAATCTAAGCTTTTTTTTTTTAATAAAACAAATATAAATATGCATATAATAAATAATACTGCTAATAATACTAACAACTTTACAAAAGCAAATTGTTATGAATAGACTACAAAAGCCCCTCGAGATGAAGAAGGCATGGAGGCAGTGGTTTTTATATTGATGTAGGCTAGAAAATAATATGTTTTGTCATATTTTAATCCTTAAATTATACCTTCATTTGTGAAGGTATTTGGGTATTGCTGTACATCCTGTGTGTATTAAGCAATGTGTAAGCAAGGCGCACACCTAACGTGCTCTGTGCTGGACTTACAGTAAGACCAGCTTTGATGTGGTCTATTCTGCAGTCGATTATAGTTCCTCAAAACAGCAACGCACCAGCAATGCGCCTTAATACGCCTCCTTTTTTAGACCAGATTGCCTATGAGTGCACATATGAGCGCAAATGCATTTGCTATTTAAACAACGTGGTGCAAAACATCAAAATGTCTCATCTGAAACTAGCCAACAACAATTGCATCGAGCCTTGCGCCGGGTGTATGATAGGGCCCTTTTAAAAAGTAAAAATAATACTTTTTTTTTTGAGGTATTCAGCTTGCTAATCATCTTTGAATGTGAGGTTAAAAACAGACTGGTCAATCACCTCTTATACAGTAAATTACATTAAAACAATTTTTTTTTTTTACCAACTACTGTTGGGAACTTACACATACTGTCACCGACTCGCTCCCAGTCATTCCCTTCGATGGCCAGCAGAGGTCACCATCACCGGACTACTGACATTACGTCATCCTCAGATACTGATTGCCACACACCTGCAGCACATCTCCTTGATCGCCACACACTCACATATTATCAGCACACACACACACACCTCAGTGCGAAGTCTTGTTCTGCCTCATCAAACACTACTGAGCCTCCTTGCCTGCTTTCCCCGTTGCTAAACCGGACTGTATATCGACCTTGCCTTGCCTGCCACCTGTCTCGAACCCAGCCTGAATACCGACCTTGATCCTAGCCGCCTGCCTCCGACCCATGCCTGCTATATCACTCTGTGTTTGCCTGCCGTCAGCCTATCGACCTAATACAACTGTGTTTTATGCGAGTTCGCACACTAGTACCATCTGTGTGCTCTTTATTAAACTGTGTTTAATAAATATACTGCAAATGGATCCCTCTGTGTCAGACCCTTCGTTACACATACGTCTTGATTAAAAACATTTTCAAGCAAACAACCACATAACGCAAGACATTTTTTTTGTTTTTCATTGATTATAGTGGCAAATGCTAAATTGTATCAGTAGTTATGCCCATTTAGCACATTCACAGGCCTGTAGAGGCCATGAGAAACTGAAAACTTGTGCAACATGTTTGTTTTGCAAAATTGGTTTGAGGTAGAAAAAAAGTCCCACCATGTTCATCATTCATTATACTAAAACCTGGTCCAATTTCTCGATCACCAAACTCTTCTGCGTAGTTCACAAGCGCCTCTTTGACCGTTTTGTATCCAACTAGGACCACTGCTTTTTCAGGTCCCAAATACACTTGGAATACATTTCCATAGGTTTTGGAGAGCTGGAGGACAACAGAGGAGCATATTTACAAAGAAATCTTGAAATGATACGCTGCCATTCATTTCATTTGATTGAGCTCTCACCTTAAAAAATGTGTCGAAAGGTCTTGTGAGGTCAAGGGTCAGCAGGTTTCCCACCAGCGGTAGTGGTTTGGGTCCCGGTGGCTCTTTTCCTTCTTTCTGAGATTCAGATCCAGATGACACTAAATACAAAACCAGAAACAACAGCAAAGCACCCAGCAATGTGCCTGTGCTGGCAAACTGCAGAAGTGACTCGACAACAGCCATTTTCTCTCTGAGCTTCAAAAGTGATGAACAGAATATGGTTTTAGCTGATATATGAAGGACCTTGTTCGACCAAACAAAATAATAATCCGAGTTAATATTTACGTAGTTGGGACAGTGTCATCAGCATGTGTATAACACCCTGTAGTAAATCATTAACTTCTACAGCCTGTTAAAACAACAGGAAACTTGTTGAAAGTAATAGAAGTACAAATGTTGTTTTAAACTATTTTTGCACCGATGTTATTGTTTTATTATTGATTAAGACCGTTTATCCATACTGTATGTGAACTTATTATATTGATATTACCTACTTTTCTTAACAGACAAATAACAAGCTGCTCTTTACTGACACACAAAGATACTGTGACTTATCTATTTTAAAGCAGATAAACCTCCAGCAATATATTATACTACCCTTTTATGGTTTTATGAAAGCACCAATCTTGCTATATTAAAATGATAAGAGGTAAGGTTATAATTAAAAATGTTGATAATTCATTCATTCATTTTCTTGTCGGCTTAGTCCCTTTATTTATCCGGGGTTGCCACAGCGGAATGAACCGCCAACTTATCCAGCAAGTTTTTACGAAGCGAATGCCCTTCCAGCCGCAACCCATCTCTGGAAAACATCCACACACACACACACACACACTCATACACTATGGACAATTTAGCCAACCCAATTCACCTGTACCGCATGTCTTTGGACTGTGGGGGAAACCGGAGCACCCGGAGGAAACCCACGGGAAGGCAGGGAGAACATGCAAACTCGACACAGAAACGCCAACTGAGCCGAGGTTCGAACCAGCGACCCAGCGACCTTTTTGCTGTGAGGCGACAGCACTACCTACTGCCTAAATGTTGATAATTCTGATTCATTTTCCCACATGTGATTTAACATCGGTAAAGTGAATACAATGGCAAATCAGCGCTGTTTAAGAGCGCCATCAACAGGGAAATGGGCGTTTTTTTTACTATAACGAAATTTGGTATCGCAACAATTCTAATGTAGTGAAAGTATTAGTTCATTAACTCGAGTTTAATGAATGTCATCTAAAACGTGTGTTTGAGAAAGAAAACGTTAGCTGACTAGTGCCATTTCCCTTAACTAAGCTGAAAATGATGTCCAATATCCTTTTTTATGTTCACTATTTATTCAGAACGGACCTTTGAGTCACTCGGAAGGCAGTGAAAGGATAAATTTGTGTCGATTTCTTTTCGCTGATAAGATATACATCCAGGTACACAACATTCTAGTGTGACTCAGGCGAGACTTCCGGGTTTCTTCCCACCGCAGCCTCGATTTCACTGTTTAAAATGGTGATCGCGTGAAATCAGTCCATAATGTTGTCTCGTAGTAGGCTACGAAGAATGGTACATCTTAACTAAATGTATATCATTTTTAGGCCTTATCTGCATCCCAAATAGCACACTATACACTTATGCAATATTTAGTTGTGCACTTACACGCTCAACAGCAGAGTATGTATATATATATATATATATATATATATATATATATATATATATATATATATATATATATAAATTATATATAAATTATGTGTATATATATATATATATATATATATATATATATATAGTGTCGTCCAATAAATGACCAAACTGCCAAATAATACCTGCCATAAGTATAACAGCATTCACCATCGGGAGGCGCTATCATCACTCTTGTAGGAGAATTTTGCTTTCACTATCCAAAATAAATAAACTAATCCAACATGAGCGCCCGATAGCTCCATCGCTGAGCAAAGCACCAGTTGTTGAGTGCGTGAAGTGTCCAACATTCCACACTTCGTTTTACCGGTTGAATGAGTGCATCCTCCAGGTTATTAAAGTGCACTTATTATTTTTTAGAGTTTCAGTGTGAATTCAGTACTTACAATATTTATACTGCAACGTGGAGTAGAATAGTGCATAAGTATGCGATTTGGGACGCACCTCTTGTTTCCGAAGTATACCTTAAAGAGGATGCTTAACTTATGCCCTATGTACATCGTTGCAAACTGCTGTTCCCGGTGCTGAAATGATATAGATGGTAGAACTGTGAGGAGCCATTTACCTAATCAGTTCATATATAATTCTTGCTTATTTAGGAGATTAATAATGATATTAAATATTTAGGGTATTGAATTTGCTTCTAACTGAGGGCCATGTTTCATGTACTTTATACTTTCTCAACAAGTTGGGGAAGATAGTTTATAAAATATGATATTTAGTAATAAGCTCAGCATCTGTTAAGCAAAAAATTCTCAATACAATCATCAATACAACCAATACAACAATCATCTCTTTATTCTCAAGTCTCGAACCCTCATTAGTGAAATATGACTTCCTTCCTGCTGCTTTTAAATTAATCTTATAGCAGGTTTGGGGGTTTTAATATCAAGTGAATTAAATTTGACTAAAATGCAGGTATTTAATGTTTACAAATATAAACTTAAGTTTATGTTGAAGGAGGACAAGAAATGTTTATGGAAAATGTGCATAACACTGTAAACTGTGTTCATGGCCACAAGATTTGCATTGGACTGATGGGCAGCGCACTAAAAGCAACACGTGAACCATATACTGGATCTAGTGGGGGAAAAAAAGAGAAAAAGGAGCTGAAAGAAGTTAAATTTCAAGGCAGAACCGATCTTAATTATATTTTTATGAACACAGACGATCAATATTTTAAAGCTGTGTTGTTGTTATTATTATTATTAGCAGTAGTAGCCAAACTATTTTTACTGCTTCAGTCACGGTAGCCAGATGGTAAAATGTTTCTCTGCTTAAATATCCACATATAAATGGGTCCACAAAGGTGCCTGTGTTTTAATTTAGCACTGTACTGCTGCCACCAAACTTCCAATCAAAACAGTTCCCTTTAAATACACTCCAAAGCCTGGAAATCCCTAGTGTAATGACAAGTTGAATATTTGCTGGATTATTTGTGGGAAAATTGCGTAATCTGGGCAGAGCTTTGGGGGTGAGCCTACCTAAAGAGCGGTGGGGGTGAGTTGCACGCGACGTATTTGAAAAGCTGGGAGGGATGCGGTGGAGAGGGTTGTGCAACGTATTAAAGGACCGGGCTGGAGCGGCGCGATATCCGGGAAATTATTATTCATTTGTGGAATACTCATGCAACTTTCAGGAGACTTGGGATGTCTGAGATAGTTTCAAAAATATGCAGAGGAGATCAAAATTTGAAGATTTTATTAATTTTTTTACTCTTTATTATAGTCTGCACTGTCAACAGTGTTATACAAAATAGCCAAGGCACTTAAAATATCTTTATTTTGTGGAATACACAGTGGTCAGAATGACAGAACAGCAATACCTGCAGCACAAGGAAAGATTACATGTAAAATTTCTAAAGGTTACAGTAGTCAAAATATAATATAGTAATAGTAATATAGTAGTCAAATAATATAGTAATCAATATAATATATATAATATAATATATATATATATATATATATATATATATATATATATATATATATATATATATATATATAAAATTATATAGTAATCAAATAATCAAGGAGCAGAGAGTGTTGATGCTCTTACTTTAAATGACTAGCCAGTACCAACTACTAGTCCCACAGATCATCACTAGTTTCTTGATCAGCACTATTTCAGTCTCCTCATTAGGGATGGGTATGGTTAAGGTTTAACAGTATTACTACTTTTATCGATATCACTTTCGTACTTTAACGCTTCTCTTATTTGTACTTTTTGTTGAGTTTTTTTTTTTTAGAAAAAAAACAAAAACAAATTGAACAGAATTAACACTTTATTTTAATGTGAAATAAACCAAAACCAATAATTGTAAAACAATTTTTTTTCCTGTAAAAGAATGTACAATGGTTTGAAGGAAAATGATTCAGTTTTTAACCTTTTGTCTTCTGGAGACAAGTCAACATGTTTGCCCTTTTATGGCAGAAGTCGGGATCTTGGTTTCTTGTGCTTCCTACAGCTGAAAAACACCCTTTTTAATTGCAAATTCCAGTTAAATAATCAGATAATGTTTATAATTTTTCATTAAACACATTCACATAAATGAGTCACCGGTGTTTTGGGAGTTAACAATGTAAAAAATAAGCAGTTTTTTTATTTCTTAATAAGAATAGTTTATTATTAGGCTATATTTCTGTATTTCAGTGATATAAAAGCATTTTTAATATTTATTATTTATTTCGACTACTGCAGAAAAAAAAACGTTTTCATTGTAACTGAATGCGCGCGTTTAATAAACTATTAATATTATTCTAATTTAGAGAGACCTTATGTGATTGACTGCTATCATAATGATGTGGATGATGTACCTTTAGCTAGGCAGTCAAAAACCTTTCAATTGTCTTTCTGTAGTTGATGCACTTTTGAAAGATGCTTAGCCAGATTGCTTGTGTTTCTGCTTATACAAGAAAAAAACTTGTTGCATTTGTTGTAATTGTTGCTGTCCACTCAGGAATACAACCCGTTTGGATCTCCGCCACTCCGCCAGCTTACAAACCTGTAACTGAACACGCATGCACAGCCAAGAACTGTGAAGGCTTTTGGTCAATGTATCTTTTGGTCATTGGATTTTCATTTTAGACACAGATATTGAAAAACGAGTCGTTTTTTGATTTTTGTTTTAAAATAAAAAAATGAAAATTGAAATTCAATGCGTTTTTTGATTTTGGTTTTTGAATTTTAAAACGGAAATCAAAAAACGACTCATTTTTCTATTTCATAGTGAAAAACAGAAAAGCAAAATTCCAAAAATTATTTGATTTTCATTTTTTATTTTGAATAACAAAAAATAAAATCACCAAAAAACTAAAACGAATAAAGGCTTGTTTTTTTATAACCTGAAACCAGACAGGCCAACTCATTCACGGTATTCAACTCATTGACCGATTTTATATTTGACGCTCTCGCCGTTGTACTATTGGGTGAAAACACGAGCCTTTCTCATGTGAGATTGCCAACTGTGCAGATGAATTTCGCAAATTAGATAAGGTTGGTCAGTTAAATTATGCTAATGTAAGTGATGCTTATTCAGCAATAATTCTACAGTACCGATAACAAAACCATTAAGGTCAGAGCTTATCGATACCTCTGTCTTTTATAATTTAGCACTGATACCGAGATAAAGTACAGAGTTTCAGAACCCATCCCTACTTTTCTTAGTTCAGTGACTAGTGTTTGAGCTATCACTTACCAGCCATTTTGCACAGATTTTCAAACAGGTTCATATCAGGACTCTGGGCTGCCATTTTTATGTTTTCAGCTTCAAGCAACCGCTTTGCCTGTTTTGCTGTGTGACCAGATCATTGTCCTGCTGGCCAGTTAGGTAAAGGAACTGCATGCTGAGTTGGCAAACAATTACAAACCAATTGCCAATTGAGACTTTCTGCATTATCCCGTTGACTTGTAGCATTTTGGGGGACATTAATGAGCCGCTTACATTGTAAATATGCAGAATTACAGGTTTTTGCTTATTGTAGCTTTAAAATACAAAAGGTCAAGTGATTGGTTCCACACTTTGGTCCTCATTTACAAGTGCTGGAATCACCCAACTCATGCTGGAATAAGCTGCGACGTTTTGTTTTTGTATATTCTTCTGTCAGCGGCTGACTTGTTCTTGGATCAGGAGCGTCTGATTGCACACAGCTTGTGTGGAGACGGATTCAACGTGATTCCAACAATTCCTTTGAGATCCAGCTCATCTTCAGACACTCCAGGTGGAGTTGTGAAGCGGTAGCTCTGAAGGAGAGACGTGAAGAACAGGAAGAGCTCCATCCTGGCCAAACTCTCTCCCAGACAAACCCTGCGCCCTGAGAAAGAGAGAGGCTGTTGTTGAAATATCTAGGCTCCATGTGAATTTGAAACTGTTTGAATAGTTTTAACTTGAACATAAGTGAAATCTGAGTCATTTCGCAGGTTCAGAATATGAAAATTTGATTTCTGAATCATTGGCATGTCAAGGTCAAGATCAGATTACTTTGTAAGGGGAGACTGCTTAGTAGCGATATTGTAAAGAAAACAGAACAAATGGCTCACGTCATATAATTCAACCTTGTTCCTGCTTGGGTATTAGTGCCTAGGGAATGGTTCTGTTAGTGCACTATTTAAACAGCTTTTAACAGTACTGATTTATGCTTACAAACTCCTTTTCAACTCTTTATATTAATTTATTACAGAACTGTCATGTCATCAGAAAACTCTACAAACCTTTGCTTTAATAGATGCTCGCATCTCAGCCTGCCTGTCAGACATTTCACACTGGATGAAAGATCATCATCTTCAGCTTAACCTCACGAAAACGGAAATGCTTGAATTTTCTGCCAACCCGACTCCACATCACAACTTTTCAATGCAAATGGATGGGGCAACCATTACTGCATCCAAAATAGTGAAAAGCCTTGGAGTAACGATTGATGAACAACTAAACTTCTCTGCCCACATTTCTAGAACTGCTCGATCGTGCAGATTCGCACTCTATAACATCAGAAAGGTGCGACCCTTCCTATCTGAACATGCAGCTCAACTCCTTGTTCAAGCTCTTGTTCTCCCCAGACTGGATTACTGCATCTCTCTACTAGCTCCCAGCTAACTCTATCAAACCTCTTCAGATGCTTCAGAACGCAGCAGCACGAGTGGTCTTCAATGAACCTAAAAGAGCACATGTCACTCCGCTGCTCATCCGTTTGCACTGGCTGCCAGTTGCTGCTCGCATCAAATTCAAAGCTCTGATGTTTGCCTACAAAGCGACTTCTGGCTTTGCTCCTTCTTATCTGCTCTCACTTCTGCAGATTTATAGGCCTACCAGAAACTTGCGTTCTGTGAATGAACGTCGCCTCGTGGTTCCATCCCAAAGAGGGAAGAAATCACTTTCCCGAACTCTCGCATTCAATCTGCCCAGTTGGTGTAATGAACTCCCTAACTGCATCAGAACGGCAGAGTCACTCGCTGTCTTCAAAAAGCGACTAAAACGCAACTATTTAGTCTCCACTTTCCTTACTAATATGCAACTACCTCTCTGATTCAACTAACTACAAAAAAAAAATTACTAATGCTTCCCTTCTTAGACTTTACATACCTGAAACTTGCCTATAGCACTTATTCATTGTTGCTCTTATAGTTGTGTAAATTGCTTACTTGTCCTCATTTGTAAGTCGCTTTGGATAAAAGCGTCTGCTAAATGACTAAATGTATGACATAACTCTACCTAGCAACGCAAATACTGACATTCTTTTGGTTTACCATGATCCAAATGTACAAACAAATGGTCTTCTGTGCTGCTACTGGGTAATGCCATGGAACCCAAAGCAACAACCTCACGCTCTCTCTCTCTCTCTCCTCTCGTGAAGCGAATACGGAAGTAAATAAAAACTGCAATTCATCGAAATTTTGCTAGGCCTGGCTTCAAAATAGAGCACATCTCTAATAACCCCAGTATTAAAATGGCCAACTCTACAGCAGAAATATGTGTTTACAGCCTGGTACAAAGGACAATTTTAGTGTATATAGCTAATATTACCCTTCATGACTGTAAGGGGGTGATAACTCATAAGTTTTGTTTATATTTAGGGTGCTTTCACACTTGGTTCAATTTCCTGGACCGTACCCAAGTTCGATTGTCTCCCCTTGCCACCTCCTGGTTGCTTTGTGGTCACACTGGCTGCGTCCGAAACCGCATACTTCCATACTATATAGTACGCTAAAATCAGTATGCGAGCCGAGTAGTATGTCCGAATTCATAGAATTCGAAAATCATTAGGCGAGAAGTACCCGGATGACTTACTACTTCCGGCGAGATTCTGAAGTGCGCGTCCCATAATGCCCCGTGAGAGAAGTCATGAATGGAAGTGAGGCGACGCAATTGACGCAGGTAGGTCACGTGACCATAACAAAATGGCGGATGTAGTACGTCCGAATTCCATTCATACTTTTCACATTTATACTGTATAGAACATACTTTTCTAACGGCCGAGTAGTACATTTAAATTCAAATACAGTACCTACTGAGTAGTAGGCGGTTTCGGACGCAGCCACTGTCTTTTTTCCTTCTGAACTCCGCTACACTTGCGTCATCGAGCTGCTGTTTTGTCTACAGCCGTTGCAAGGTGACGGTCACGAAAGCAAGCGCTGAAATGGAAAGACGTCCGCACATCCAGGTCATTCTGCTTTGACCGAAGCTTTTGGTTTTGGACATACAGAAAGCGACTCGCGTCTATCTGCCGCAAAAAAAATTATAAACTTTCAGAACATCGCACAATGTCTGCAGAAGCTGTTTTTGGAGGAGACAAGCAGACATCATCACTGTTTTGTGTTTGTTTTGTGTTTATCACTGTGTTTGCCCTGGCTCAGTCCCGCGTGTGTCACCAAGGTACGAAACGTGACACAGACACACACACAAACGAACAAACGTTATAAAAACGATAGTTTGTTGTTCAGTTGCACAGCTGTTATTTGGTACGATTGCATTCACATCAGAAGATAACCGTATCAGAGTTTACATGAACCGTACCCCAGACCACCTCTTTCAGGCGGACTCGGGTACGTTTCACAGGTGCGCACCCGAGTTCAGAAGAATCACTTTATTTATATAGTGTACAACCAAGCACATGTGATCAGAACACAAACGAGTCGTGGGTAATAAAGTATTTAATAATACGTGTAAAGTATTAAAAGTATTTCTCCCAAAGAAAAGCTTGTCTAAGCAAAATGCTAGCATCTGTAGCTCCGCTCACTATTTGCCCTTTTTTGGTAAACCCCGGTCGGCGAAAACTAAACTAAACTGGCAACGGTTGGCCTTGCCTACTTGTAGCTTCATTTGCGCTCTTAAGAAACCAATGGGTGACATCACAGATACTACATCCAGATCTACATAGATTACAGTCTATGCAGAACCCATTGTGGAAGATCAAAGTAAATTAAACATTGTAGGTTTGTTGTTGTTGTCGTTGTTGAGATGTTATTAGGCATCCCAAACATGATATTGTTTGGCTTCAAACATGACACGCTAGACAAGATAAAATGATCAATCCATGCATTTGTCATTCATCATCATTTATGAATCTAACTGATTGTGCCAAACTCATTTCATGATCTCTGAACCTCTCTTGCAAAACTTTACAGGGCAAAGGTAAATGTGGCTGGGGCTAAAAGCTGCATTACTCAACAAAACTTTTGCCTAGATTTGCAGACTGAAGACATTGACATAAGTTTCTGAAATTCAGAGCCACTTTACAGATTTTGAGCAGTTAGTGTGTCCATTGACTGATTCAACACTGATTTAGTTTAAAATAAGTTTTGAAGCAGATTTTTAGAACACGTGGTTTTCATATTCACATTTCACTGTACCTGCAGAAAAGGGTATGAAAGCATCTCTCTTGACAAACTGGCCCTTCTCATCAAGGAAGTGTTCTGGGTAAAAGCTGTTTGGTTTCTCCCATTCACTTTCATCCTTCAGAACAGACGTCAGCAGAGGAACAACTGTAGTTCCCTAGAAAAATGGAGAAAAGATTAAAACCTTGATGTTTTTAACAGTATTTATCTTTTCCGTGATTTTTATGCATTTATTCTTCTGGCTGACCTTCTTGATGAAGTATCCATTGAAGGTAATGTCACTGGTGGTTTTATGTGGAAGACTCAAAGGCACAATGTTGGCCAGTCTCTGAATTTCATGAATGACAGCATCTGTATATGGTAATTTCTTCCTGTCTTCCACCACTGGCTGACGTCCACCAATCACTCTGTCAATCTCCTCTTGAACTCGATCTGCACACAAATGCAACACATATTTGGTGCTTTGGTCTACAATGTAATCAAATTAAGGAAACACAAAAAACATTATTTATTTGTTACCCTGTATCTGAGGGTATTTAGCCATGAGCATCAGACCCCAGCGCAGAGTCGTTCCTGTGGTGTCAGTACCAGCGACAAACAGATTTGTCACAGTCATAATTAGATTCTCCTCATGAAAGTACGAGTCCTTTTTACCAGATTTCTGTGAAATGTAATCCACAAAATTCATATAGTTTCCCAATTTTATTTCAGTTTAATAAGCTAGAGTACTTCAAATGACAATCGTCCAATTCACATGTTGGTCAAACTCCAAACCTGAATTTCTGCTTACTTCGGTAAAAGCTACCATTGCAAATTTCCATACCTCATCACTCAGTTTCCGGGTGAGAAAGGAGTCAACAAAGCCTCTGGGGTCATTTGGATTCAGAGTCTCCAGAAGAGCAGTGATCAACTTTGTCATCTGTGCTCTGCTTTGGATAATATTTTCAACAATAATCCTTTTGCTTTTCAAAAATGGACCCACCCAAGGAAACATTTCATGAAACTAGAGACACAAGAAAGACCAATTGACAAATCTTCTCCAAAGTTGTACTTTCAAAAACTTCTGTAGAACTCTTTAGTTCTTACTACTCAATGGCATATTTATAAACAGCCTCCAGTTTTAGTTGATTAAACTCACCCACATGGAAACTGATCCACCAACCCGAACATTTTCATTTGCTCGGTCAACCATTTCTGTGAATTGAGGGTCTGTGTATTCAAATCTGCTTCCGTACACAATAGACGAGATGATGTTTGACACAGCGTAGTTAACAGGCTGAGTTGTGTCAAAGGGCTTCCCTGTCAAGAAAAAAAACACCAAACCGTTTCACACTGGACCTTATAAACCAAGAGCAGATGTTCATCTCTGTCTTGTACCTTCAAACTTATCAAATTCTCCTTTGAGATGATGAATTTCTTCGATGATTTTCTCTTCACTTCCTCTTTTGCCCATCCCAAAGTCCCGCAGGTTGCTTAAAGCAAAGCGTCGCATCTCTTTCCAGTTCTCTCCATTGGAAAAGAGGATTCCTGATCCACAAAAAAAAAAAAATCTTGCTGCGAGTCTCAGCAGCGACACCAGCAGAAAAACTACAGGTTTGCCAAGTTAACAGGTCAATCTCATATATTACTTTAAATCAAGTTTTTCAGCATCTTGTTAGGAATCCACGTATGCTTCTTAATTAAAGACAAAGCAATTTCCCCCATGAACAAAAAGCCCTGTGACAAAACATGCTTAGGTTTTTCATTGTCCTAATTCCTGTCACTAGTTATGGCAATGTGTGCACATTTACTGGCATGAAACTTGTGCAAGATGTTTGCTTTGCGACATTCATTTGAGGCAGGAAAAAAGTCTTACCATGTTCATCGTTCATTATCCTGAAACCAGGTCCAATTTCTCGATCACCAAACTGTTCTGCATAGTTCACAAGTGCTTCTTTGACGGTTTTGTATCCAACTAGGACCACTGTTTTTCTTGGTCCCAAAAACACTTGGAATACATTTCCATAGGTTTTGGACAACTGGAAGACAGAGAATGATGTTTACAAGCAAATCTCAAATGGTAAGCCACCATTTTTTTTTATATGCATTGAGTTCTCACCTCAAAAAAAGTGTCGAAGGCTCTTGTGAGGTCAAGTGTCAGCAGGTTTCCCAGCAGGGGCAGTGGTTTGGGTCCCGGTGGCTCTTTCCCTTCTTTCTGAGATCCAGATGAAACTAAATACAAAACCAGAAACAACAGCAAAGCAGCCAGCAATGTGCCTGTGCTGGCAAACTGCAGAAGTGACTCGACAACAGCCATTTTCTCTCTGAGCTTCTGATGAACTCAATACATTTATAGCTGTTAGTTAGGGACGGACCTTGTCTGACAATGTGAATAGACAGTTGGAAAAGTTACATAAGCATGGACGACACCCTGTGGTTAATCATTCACTTTTTCAGCCTGTTAAACACCAGAGGACAACATTTTTTTAATAAATCTATAGAAGCAGAAATTTATTTTAACAAATGTTGCACCAATATTATTGTCATGATTAAAATAGCACGATTTGCTTTAGAAATAGAAATATTTTGCTATTATCTACTTTTCTTAGACAGAAAATAAGCAGCTCTGAACTACGACACACAGAGACCTTTATCAATCTTTATCAAACCAGAGTAAGCTGCTGCCATATATTATACTGCCTTTTATGGGTTTAGGTGAATAACTCTTAAACACTTGACACCATTTGGGAATTTTAATAAAGAAATGTTTAAAGCAACCTTTTCAACTCACAATTCAAATTAATTTTTCCACAAATGTGATTTAACATTTAACATTCCGAAATACTGAGCCATGAACCAGCATTAGCAAGAAATAGTCAAAATGACAGGGTGCAACAATTGAAAACAATTTGAAGTTTACATTTTTAAGTTGTAAACATGAAATAGCAAGAAATTAATAGCAGAACTCTGAGTGTAAACTCTGCTGCTATTTTGGGATTTCCGCCTGGGTTTTGCCTACCCAAATTTAAAAGCTTCCCAAATCCAGATGCAGAGGTGTAAATGCAAGAATTTTGTATCATTTTAAAGAAAACCCTTTGAATTTTCATAAAACACTATTGAAAGTGTTTAAAATATCTGTATATGTTGTCTGTGTTATAATAAACCCCTGAAATGTTAATAATAAACACTTTTTGTATTTTTTTTATAAATTAATTTTGGTGGTTCCTGCACATGTCTGTAATGACAGAAAAAAAAAGAAAAATGTCGAGCGATCATTGTTTTTTATACTTCAATACTCTTTTGTTTGATCAAACATAATTCACTGTGCTTGAACCACATCTGACATATAAAAGGATTACTTATGCACATCACCTCAAAAACAGAGGAGAATAGCCCTGAAGCGCACAGCATAAGGTAAGAGAGGACAGCTGTCTGTGCTATCTGGGGCTGCTTAGTGATCATTAATGTATTGTTTTCACTTCTGCGCCATGGAAACACGGCGATTCATTCAGCAACTGTTTGATATGTGAATATAGTTCAGTAAAAAGAATGCTAGAACCGTATGAGCACCGGCAAGAGCTTTCATTTGAGCTATAACTTGTACATGTGTCACATATGAAAAATGTGAAAACGAACCAATGTAAAATACCTAGCTCAGGTATCCAAAATACTGTGTACTTAAATGTAAATAACTTTTGTACAGTAGAATAAAAACCAAAGTGATGCATATGTGCATAAAATATAGATTCTACACTTTCAAACGAAACCACTTAAGGGGGTCCGGTGCAATGCTAGCCCTTTATATCTGAAAGCGAAAGCCGATGACGTCACGGAGTTTAACTGGTTAAGCTATTCTGATTTATTTTCTAAGAAATAGAAACTATATTTAAGATGTAAATTGTTCTGAAAGAAATATTTAAGTTATTATTAGGTCTGGCCGAGCCAATGAAGTTAGTCTTTTGCTGAATTTAGTTCTTTCTAAAAGCTACTGCAAGGCTATGTCACAATTATGACATAGAAAGTCAAAAGCTTTCTAGTTTCTCCAAACAGTTGATTAGTAGTTTGTAAATGTTGCTCAAAGTGATTCTTTTACAGCTTTTTACTTAGAGTTTCATGATACAAAAGGTAAAGTGGTTGGTTAGATGCTTGCCTCATTGTTTATTTCTATATTTTCAACCAAAAGTAAAATACATAAGTGCAGAAATCAACCAACTCATGCTGAAATAATCTGAGAAGCTTTGTTTTGTGTATTTTTCCGTTAGCTGCTGATGCTTTCCTGAATCAGGAGCGTCTGATTGCACACAGCTTGTGTGGAGACGGATTCAACGTGATTCCAACGATTCCTTTGAGATCCAGCGCATCTTCAGACACTCCGGGTGGAGTTGTGAAGCGGTAGCTCTGAAGGAGAGACGTGAAGAACAGGAAGAGCTCCATCCTGGCCAAACTCTCTCCCAGACAAACCCTGCGCCCTGAGAAAGAGAGAGGCTGTTGTTGAATAAACAAGGAAAGCTCCACATGGCTTTTTTTCCCGTTCACATTAGCCAATGAGGCATTTTTTAACAGTTAATTAAAACCACTTTTAATGGTTAAAAAAATAGATGCAAGTAACTAAACATGTAATACTAGTTAACTGTTTTGCAATAGAAATGTTAAACATCCCACAGTAAAGACAGCGATGCAAACTACTCAGCATTTTTATACCATTTTACACCATTTTGCACCATTTTTACTGGGATTCTTCCACATTTTACAATTCTATCCCGCTATCATCTCGTAAAGATATTTTCCTGTATTTCTCCTGTATTTCCTATTGTTGCATCCCAATGTTGATAGGTATGAATTATAGTAGTACCAGTAGTATTAACTGAATCATGTTATTTATCACTGAATGTGAAGAGACATTAATGGAGCTGTTTTCAGATGCAATCACAATAGCAAAATCTAGTGGAGAAAACGTCCATTGTCAATATCGCAGCAATGTTTAAAAAACTGCTTGCACAGTTTCTTTCCAATTAAGCACATTCAGACATCACAATGCAACAGTAGTACCCATGTCAGATTGTCACAATTAGTTTTCTGTGTTACTGGAGCTTGAGAATCATGTCACATGACATTATTCCTCAATCTTGCTTGCCGTTTTTAACAATCTTTGTAATTTAATTAGGAGGGTGGAATTCATGACTGACTTCAGGAAACCAAAGCTCAAACATTCATTACTATAGCTGCATGCTTTGCACCGGATGTCATGCCATGTTGTTGCTGTAGCTCTACAAACCATTTTTTTCTAATGCATAATTTCATCTAGCATCACAAAAACTTATCTCTCTCTTTGGCTTTATGATTTAAATGTTCACTCAATAAAAATATAAATGCAACATTTTTATTTTAGCTCCCATTTTTCACAAGCTGAACTCAAATGTCTATCTTTTTCTGTATACACAAAAACATTTAGATTGGTCTAAATCTAAAAATATCCACACACACACACAGGTATTTTTTTAATTGAGTTTCCCAGCTTTTGTTTAAAAAAATTAGTGCTGTCAATCGATTAAAAAAAATTAACTAATTAATCGCACCTTTTAAAAAAATTAATCGTGATTAATCGCGATTAATCGCATTTAAAATACTGAAACTAAAATACTGAAATTTTGGCTATTTAAATGTAAAATTAATGTGAATGCAAGACAAAAAATATTTAAATTCAAAATATAATTGTTTATAAGAATTTTTGTTTAACTTGTAACACAGATTTCTTCATGTAAACAACATACCCACAATAAACCATCAAGATCCTGGCTTGACTACCATATTTATTACAGAAATTAAAACACAGGCATGTTAATCACATTTAAATTTCAAAACAATCAATGCCAATAAAGAAAACATTGATTTCCATGTTGGATACTAAGTGGACTGCAAAAAAATGCCAAAATACAGGAATTGCAGATATGGAAAATGAAAAATTATAATTATAAACTATAGAATACAAACTGTGAGTTGAGAAGTTATAGAGTAGAAACAATTTATCTTAATCCTCCTTTACATTTATCCAGTTGTTAGGACTAGGAGTATCCCGCAAGTGCACAGAGACTCCCAAATGCCCGCAAATGAATGATAATTTCTTGCAAACCGGTCGTTAAATACATTGCACACCCCTCTCGCCCCTACTCAGATACGTCGCTTACTCCACCCCTGACACCCCTCAACGGGCCTGACACAGACACACACACAGACAGACACACACAACGCGCTGCAGACATTTCGGCCCCAACGGCCTTCCATACTGGAGCGACTCCCCTCAGATTCAACATGCATGATCACGTTCATCAAATTTGCTAAGCGTCCTAAACTAAGCGTCCTAAAGTATTACTGTATTTCACAAGGATTCTGACACAACAACGCGAAGCATACGCTTTCGTTGCGTTTAATGAGGAAACACGCTAAACTTAATTAATGCCCTGTCTTTGACAGCTCGCGACTTCACCAGACGTTCTGAGTACATTTACATAAGACACCAATACTCCGATTCTAATATGATTAAGATAATACTCTTATTAAAATTCTACCGTGTAGCCTTAAAAGGAACCCTACCTTAAAGGAACACCGAGTCACGAAATGCAGAGGATTTTCTTTCTGTTCGCCATGCGGTATCAACTTACAACAGATGTCGAAAGTTAAAAATGAAACACCCGAAATTGCATAAAACTCTGGATAACCTGTGATGCAACTAATTGTTAACCGCGTTAATTATTTAAAATTAATCGTATGCGTTAACGCGTTAATTTTGACAGCGCAAAAAAAAATCCATGTGAAAACGCAAAAATGCATGATATTGCATGTTATGGGCTTGCCGAACCAACAGGTGGCGATAATGAAACTTTTATACTGAGTTCACACCAAACATGGAATTAAGGCTGTTTCTCAATTCCAAGAACACAGAGAAGGGACTTGAGTTCTTGTGGAGACCAGTCTTGCCAGGTGTCTTTGAAAGAACGAACTCGGGAGACCGCGAGAACAGAGAATGCATCCTGTGAGAAATGAGATGCTGCGTTTTTCCTGATGGTCACGTGACCTCCACGTGTTTTTAATGGAAAATTATATACACATTACAACATTTATACAACGATTTGTTGTCTTTATTCTTTTCAAAAAATATGCTATGCATAAAAACATTATAAGTATGCGTTGCGCAATATAAGTAAATCAAATTTAAAACGAATTTCAGCAAACAAACACCCTTAATGTGTTATTACTTTATTAAGATGTGCATGGTAATGTTTACTTTCACCATTTCATTTTGGGAAACTCCTGAGGTTAATAAGTTGTATCTCTGAACTTTAATGATAAATCTAAAAAAAGGCTGCGCTTCCCAGTCGCAATGACTTCTGGGACTTCTAGAGCGAGTTCGGTGCTCAAGTCTGCATCGATGCGTCCTCGAAATCAAGAACACATCTGGGAAGTTTCACCCGTCCTCTGTTCTTGTGGTCTAGAGTATTGGAACTGAACTTCGGCAGCTGTTACTGACGTTACACAAGAAGGCAAGACCACTGAAGAACGCATATTGAGAAACAGCCTCAGTATATTTCACAAGTAAACTGCATTGAAGTCAATGCAAACGTGAGAACAGAGGTGAATTACTGTCCCACAGTTGAACAATATGGGCGATACATTTGCCATGAATGTGCAGAAGTTGTCTCACGTCTTCTGTTTAGTGCGAACTCCATGTTGGCCAATTAGAAAGGGGAAAACAGCACGCACGCTGACTTAATGAGACTAAAACACCGGTTTGAGCATCCACACGACCACACTGTACTGAGAGTTTTGTAGTTTCAGCCACCTGACAGTGTTTTCGTATAGACAAACAGCGAAACCCTATAGAAAAAAGTGCAGTTTTGAAAATAACCATGCTCCTGTGGACAGGGCTTTAGTGAGCACTTCTCCTTTACCGAGATAATTCATTCACCTTACATGTGTGGAATATCAAGATGCTGATTCGACAGCATGATTAGTCCACAGGTGTGCAAC